TATCACCTTACTGTAACAACTATGTTTTGCTATTGATGACTTCCACAGCTTCGCGATTTAGACAATGGAGAATTTTAGTAGCTCGGTCCGATGACTCCGATAACGATATCCGATACTTCGCCGCCGTCATTGCGCAGCCATCATATCGTTATCAGGTACCGTTATCGTGGGTATCGGAGGTATCGGAAGGATGTACTAAATCTCTCGAATATCAGGCAACGGCTGCAACGACAAAGCTTTCTTCTATCTTCGAGGTAAATAGTACTTCCCTTGCTTCGCTGAGAAAGCTCAATGCAAAAAATGAAGCATTCGTGAGGAACAATTTGGCACTCCCATCCAGTGCCTGAGCTCACAGGGTGTTCAGCGTAGCAGTCGACATATTGAGTAAGAAATACCGCAAGATGTTTGACGAGACTTTCGAGAGCTTGCTGCTGCTCAAAATACTCAAGGTCATTAAATGGAACACGTTGCAACAATAAGAACTTGAATAACCCTTTTCCCTTTGTTTCTTACTTGAGGACAATAATGTTAAAAGTAACGCCACGAAAGTAACGGATTACTTTTTGGGGTAACGGTCAGTTACTTTTATAGAAGGGTAATTGTAATTGTAATAAATTACAATTTAGCCTCGAGTAATTGTAAGTGTAATTCCTTACTATTTTTCAGTAACGTGTACAAGTCTGCTCCCTCAACCCATCAACCCTTTACACTGACTCGTAGAACAAAAATGCAGTTTAAAACATTATTGCAAAATTATTTCAGACATTAAGTTTTACATGCATGTTGTAACTCAAGAAGACAATCAGAACCGATGTTTGCTCAAACCCGGGTGCAAGCAGCTGTAGACAAAAGCGATCAGACCAAATAGGGACAACCGAGTTCTTTGTCGCAAAAAATATCTTTCAAAGTGCTCACAATGCTGCTGGGTAAATTCCTGAGTTCAACTAATAAAACCGAGCAGGTGCACCACACAGACACATATGCAGTGTCAGTAGCGCGTTGAGCGAAAACCACGAACGCACAAGCAACATCTGCCACCATTGAGAAATCCTGAGCAGTCACGGTGTTGTCCCTTGGTGGCGTCCCCAGCGTTGTTTTTCAATCGCTGGATGCTTCTGAAGTCGGACGGACAAAGAGGCGCACAAAACAGGGCACCGAGATACCTTCTTGATCCGTACACCCAGCTGCTCTAGAAAATAGGTCCCACACATGGCACGGGAAGCCGACACTGAGCGTCCGCTGGTTGTTGCGCACTTATTTTGCGCTCACTGGACAGAAAAAAAACAAAAAAACAGGGCGACCAGTTTCTGATGAAGGCTGTATTTCAACTGACTAAAAACAGGTTATCTTCAAACAAACAACAGCAGCAAATGCACCCTCCCCCGTGAACGCCTGTCCCAAACAGGATACTACAAAACTCACGACTCCGGAAAATCGTGCGGCGCTCCGCTTCCGGCCGTCGGGGGGAAACTTCCCCCCGTCAAATCTCTTCCTCGCTTCCTCCATAGCGGCCTTGCTCTGCTCATCACTGGGTCCGGAGAGTCACTCACGCGCTCTGTTGGCTTCAAGGCCTCCGCCTTTGTCAAGTCCCGAAAACGGGAAAGGGAACGACACGAAGGTGAGGGGGCGACGGCCGAGCCGAGGCGACGGCGGTACGCGAGGGCGTTGGCGAGGTCAGCCAGACGCAGGTGGCGTGTGACGTCAAATCTGACGAGCACCGACGTCAGAGAAAAGTGGAGGAGGCGAGAAGTCGTGATCATGAAAATTTTCACGACCCTTGCAAGAATTTTCACGATTTGTCGGAGTCGTGCGTTTTGTAGTGTCCTGTTTGGACAGCCCTTGAGCGAGGACTGGCATTGGGACTGGGTGTCCTTCAGCAAAGGTTCGGGAAACGCCATCTCTCTCTTTAGTTCAGCTCGTGAAACACGGGCGGCGGAGAAAAGCTTACAGGAGAAAAGCTCACCGCAGAAAAGCTCACCGGAGATAAGCTCACCGGAGAAAAGCTCACCGCAAAACCGGCAGATGCGGAGAAAAGCTCACCGATATTTTTTTAGCTTAGCTTGATTCTGCGTCTTGAGGTTCATTAGGCATAATTACTATTTCCTCAGAAATTAGTAATCACCCATTCTGTAAATTATTGAAGCCGCAAGTATAAAATCAGAACATCGTACACCGGTAAAAAAGGCAACAATTTATTGACAGTTGAGGGTGCGCCGTCGGTAGCTCTGTCAGATAAAGAGGTTTGTTTTTTGCGAGCTAATATCGAATAGCGGTGTGTGAATCGCTTGAGGTCCAAATGTTGTGTAGCACCTAATAGATAAGTAGATGTTTGTTGATGTCATCAGTGTCGGCTACGCTGTTTTCTTTCAGTTAATTTCACAAAACTTTAGTTGCGAGAACAGCTTCGTCGTGTCGTGTTTGTTGTCTTCACCCCGTCGTCGTCGTTTGAGCGGTTTTCATCATGTATAACGTTTACCAACACGCCCAATTCGCTACCTATACCTTACAAAAGACTAGCTCTTATATAGCTCACGAGTAACAACGGTGACAGTGTGCAGCTCTGAGGGTCATGGGTGGCTTACCGTAGAAGGCGTTATCACAGACAAAGGGAACGTGTGGAAACACCATGCAGCACGAACGGCTAGAAAGCGTGCATGTCCGTGGAAGCACGAACGGCTTGAAAGCGTGCATGTCCGTGGAAAAAAAGAAGCCTCGATATCCTATTGACTGTTTTATCCTGTTTTCAAATGTTAACAAAAGCTTCAAAGAGAATTTCAGGCATCGCGTTGTTGCGCGTGCACTTTTGGATTTTCGGCATTTACACCTTTGATTTTTAGGTTTCAGGCAGTCATCATTACGTTTTTTTTTTTTTTTTTTTTTTACTTTTTCTTGTTTTTTAAGTTTATAAAGATTTTAGTTAGGCTTTCGTTGCATAGAAAGTAAGCCACAAAAAATACTCTCCCGCATTTATTAATTTGGGAGCAATATACCCAATAAGCTTAACAAATATTACAAAAGAGGACATTTTATTTTTTACAAAGCTGATGAATTTTAATGATAATAAATTGATATATGTTACGCTCGATCCAACAGCCTCCATATAAAAAGAAGAAAAAATATCGGTGATCAAATTTTCTCCGCATACGCTCAATGGCCGGTGAGCTTTTCTCCGCATCCGCCGGTTTTGCGGTGAGCTTTTCTCCGGTGAGCTTATCTCCGGTGAGCTTTTCTCCGGTGAGCTTTTCTCCGGGATTCGTGAAACACACAGACACAACAATGAGGGATGGGGAAATGTCTCAATTTCCAACGCTCGTACGGGCCTCCAATAAAAATGGTCAAGCGGCTTCTTGATGAATTTATCCTGAAGGGTCACGTGAACTCCCCCCCAGACATATTAAAACAACTTTGGTGGGTAGCGTGGTTTCACAATACCCATCCAGTACCAGCAGACCTGCTCTCCCGTGGCCAAAACGTGCAACTAACATGTGCTGCCACGCTTTCTTCACATGACGAAGGTGAACCCAAGTATCAAAGTGGACCTTTCCAGTGTCGTTCGAACAGTATTGTTTCATTTCGTCGGCTCGCGCGACTTTCCTCTCTTGTACAAGGGAGGCGAGGCGGCGGTTGCGCATTTTGTCCACGGGGGCCAGAACCACTGGCACGGAGATGCGTTCCAAAAGGACCCCCAAAACAACAAATGCGTCCAAATGTTTTTTTTTTTTTTTTTTCGGGACACAGTAAAATGTTGCACGTGCCTCATTTTCTTGCGAAGTGCACATAAATGGCAGCTTTCAATGATGCCCAGAAATTTTGTAATTGACACCATGCCTTTAGATTTAGGAATTAGCAAGTACCAAGTAATTAATGACCTAAACATACCCAGCACTACTAACTTTCCAAAATGGACCCTTCGGCAGAGGCCAAATATTTTTTTACTGCGCGATGCATACTTTTTGCAGAAACGATTTGGACGTGTTTTGTAAATTCAACGAGGCAAGATCTTACTTAAATATGCGCAAGCAGCGTCCCTACAATACTATTATTTATTTTTTCAATATTTCGAATGTGTTTGGTTTACTTGGACACGATACAATGTTCTGAATAACTAGTATAGATCAAATTAATCCAATCACCTACACAAATAAGCCAAACTATACTCCATTGCAGTGGTTCTCAAATGGGGGCCCGCGAAACCCAACCTCATCAGTAGAGCCCGGAAATAAAAGTTCTCTTCTTAGATTCAGAAGAAACGTTCCCATTTTCGGGTTTGTTTCCTCGTGTGTATGTCAATAAGTGAAATTTACTTCACACTAGCCCTTAGTTATATCCGTTTATTAAATCACTATCATAATTAACCTACAATTTGTCTTCTCCTCGCCACAAACGGGGTCCTCCATCATCTCTGCCGATCCACAAGGGGTCCGCGAAACATCAATGGCCGAGAACCACTGCTCTATTGTATTGATTTTCCATCCCTTACTCTACACACTGGGTAGTTATATGTGAAACAATTCATCCCCTATACCATACCCCCCCCCCCCCCCCCCCCCTTTCCTTTGCTGCTTTATACCGCTGCACTTTGTCTCGCTAGTTCCGTTCTTTGACACATTTGTGAAGGCTTTAGAGAAAAACCCTGCGAGGTCCATTGTGCATCCTAAAAAAATGTGAACATGGAGTTTCATATTTTATGCACAACATACATATTATAAATAAATAATAAGGGCGTCGATTTTGGACGTTCAGTAAAAGTACCATATTTTTGTTGTCCTCCACTGCTGCACGAGCTAAGCTCCTGTTCCCATATGTGAATTTCCAAATGCAACACCAGAATTGTACATCCAGTTAAAAAAGGATGAACATGAGAAGGCAACGAGTGATACAAGAAGGAACTGAAACCCAATTGCATAGAACCTTTGTTTTATTGCTTGAACTTTTTAGAAATCACTATTAATACCAACCTTGTATTGACCTACAAAAAGAACACATAAAAAACAAAAAAATAAATGTCAAACATTTGATTATTTATTTTTACACGTTCATAAAAATAGTATCACAGGCATACACTCGTCTGTGCTTCTGGTATGTTCCAAACACCCGGAAACCTCGTCTTGAGGCACGCACATGAGACAAAGAACAGCCAACTGATAGATGATAGGTTTTGTTAGAGAAGTCCAAGTCATGTACCATTGGGCATGTCATGGAGAGCATGGCAATGGATGTGTGAACATGAGCAAACTTGGTGAAGGTCTTATGAGCAGGTGGGTTATACAGGTTTGCACCACTGGCTGTGTTATGGAAGCATGGCACTGGCCGTGTAAATGTGGGCAAACCCGGTGAGGTCGTGCAAGAGGGTAGCATATAAAGCACGATGTGCGAATAAAATCTATTACGCTGCATCTGAAACGTGAGGGTTTGCCCTAGTCCCCTTTGTCGTCCGTCGTCTACGGTTAGAATTATGCGATAGATGCTACAGCTAATGCATTTCTAACCACGGACACCGGGTACGAACACGAGCCGAAAGTCCCAAGTACCGCATTTACACGACTGTAGGTCGACCCATTTTTCAATTGTGAAAATCTGAAGTGGGGGGTCCACTTATAATTTAACCAAAACATTCAACCGCCGACAAAAACAAAACAATCGCAATGTCAAGAACACCTTGGCTTGTTACGACTTCAGCCGGCTGTACCTGTGTAGCATTGTGCTTATCTGTGCATACAATTTTTTTAATTTTTATTCGCTCGAACGAGTATTGATAGCAATTCACAAATTAACCCGAATGTACGGTTGCAGATGCAGATTGTTTGATCGAGTGTCGAGATCATGCTGGAGTGGTCTTTTTTTATTGACATGCGTGATGCGGGCAGTTTAGGTTTTCGGTGCTCGTTTATGGCCATTCTTCACCCAGAGGCAACCAACAACTGCGCTGTTGGACACAAGTTCGAACCGTCGGAGCGGGTGATGCTCCAGTGGAGTCTGCAATAGCGTGGGATCTTAAACTGTGACGGCAAACGAAAAGGCTTCCGCGGGCCAAAGTCTGGATAGGTGGGGATGCCTTCCGGAGTTGGAGGTCAGGCTTGCAACGTATGCCGCAAAAGTGTGCAATTGGTCCCTACCCTATGACGTGCAACGTGATCGCCAAGCAAGTGCGGAAGATGCAGTTCATGCCGTCATTTGTGAAGTGCGAAATTTCGTTGGACAATGCCGACGGCGTGCTTTGAGGATGTAGCAGTGATGACGATGGGACTGATATAACCAGTGCGGACGGGTCGTAGTCTAGTCGCGGATGAAGTGAGAACAATAGGGAGCAGCTTCAGTTGTCCCACTTCCGGCGTGAACTTCGTAGTTTCGATAACGCCTGGGTATCTCATGCACCTTGTCCTGCATGCGCAGCCAAAGCATGCCAGAAGTCATTTATCGTGTGTTGGAGGCTGGGCTTTCAAAACAGATACTTTGCTGTTCTCACGTGTTTGCAGTAAAATGCGCATCTAATGATTTTTGTTCTTTTTTGCTGATGTGCAATGTGGGGGGTTGACTTCCAATCGAGTGGACTTACAATCGTGTAAATACGGTACTCATTAACACAATTATCAGGAGCTTTTCGCTTTCTTATCCCGCTCATGATGACAAAAATTTAGATGTTCTTACACAAAATGTTTCCACCACAAGGAAGGCAAGTTGCTCCTGCTTCTTTCGCAAGACCAGACCGACGACCATCATTGTAATTTCGAACACCGTTGTCCAGCTCTGATCTGATCAGAACAGACATTCTGACAAACTGTGGCAACCATCTAACTGACCTCACTTTCGTGCCAGTGATTCACGCGATACGGGACCAACAAGGTGCGTGATTCAAGATAAAATTAAGCACCCGACGAATGTCAAAAGGAGTGCTTCGACGTAAACAGTCCTTGCTTAGAGCAAAAATGTCTAGAATTTCGGCTTTTTGGGTTTGAACAGCTTTTATATTTCTGACACCGGAAGATGTTCATAAGTGTTTTTCGACTAAAACCAGAAAGTCTACAACCTGTTTACACAATTTTAAACCTTCCGCCTTCCGGGTAAACTTCCACAAGATGTGCGTACACCACTTAAGGGCTCTTTATACTCCGTCGTAATGTCGACGAGCACACGCGCCCAATCACGTTGGCCGACGCTGGCTGCGAACGGGGGTCTATACTCCGTCGTCGTGCGCAGCGTGAAGAAGCGCAGCGTAGCCCAGCGTGCCTCAGCATAGTTCACAATGAAATCGAGCCTGCTCGATTTACGTCGCCAACAAAGCGAGGACCGACGACAGTGACTATCTTGGAAGTCCACGCACGAGCGTCACATTCGAGAACTCTGGGCCAGTCGGGGTGTGCAAGACGCTCATTTCTGTGATCTGAACCTGCCGTTCTTGCTGCGTGTCGTCCATGTATTCCTGCGTTGCTGCACATATTTAACGTTCGTGCGCTCCACTGTGCGAGTGTGTGCATGGACGTAGGCTGCTTCGAGGATGTGCTAACCCCGTTAGGCGGCGCAAGTCCCTTCGCTTCTTTTGTGGAAGTTGTGGCGACGTCAGAATGCCGAGCTCCGATTGACTCTGATCAGAAAGATAGTCGGTAGACCTCAAAGCAAGCTGCCTTTGAGTCTACCCCCTATCCTTCAATCGGAGTTTAACGTTTTCACGTACCCACAGCTCCTGCGAAAGAAGCGAACACCTAACAAGCTGGTGGTGGTGGGGTGCCGACCAAAGCTGAAAGTTCGGTGACGCATCAAAGGTAGAGTCAATTAGAAATAAGGATGACCTGATCCGTGTGCTATATAGAATCATGCGCTAGTCGTAGGCACTGGCAGCCGTTCCCGATCAAAACCACAAGCGCTGTCGAATGTACGGGAATAGTGGACCCAGTGAAGCCTCCTAACTATTTAGCCGGCCAGAAATTTTCAACCGGGATGTTTCAGCTTGTAAACGACAGTAGCAGTATGCGATGAAAGTGGGACTGAATCCTGCATTGTTCGTATGGGTTCTGTAAAGCGCACTACAATTTTGAACACGTACACTGCTTGATTTAGGCATCGTCTGCTCTCTTCGGTGTCGGTTTCTCGAGTCGGCGTAAAAGTCTACTGCGCTGATAACAGGCCGGCCGTCTTTCAGAAAGAGGTCCCTGTGGAATATCGAGTGCATCAATTTTCATCGAAGAATTCCGGCGAAATTCCGCAGGAACTCCTGCGCTGGCACGCGTTGCGTTCGTTGACGATGGAGTATAAACAGCCCTTTATATGCGGTCTGAAAACATAATTCGTCCGCAGCTTGTGACTCAACGAAATAAATTGTGCGGCTGAACACCACGCAGTGGGATCTATTACTAGTATTTGTCAATACATTGCTAGCACTGAGTTGTTATAATACACAGGTTCCTCGTTCGCTCTTGCCGGTTTCATTTTTTCCTCGGATCCAAATATAGAGAAGTTTCGTTCTAGTCACCGAAAAAATGTCCGCTCCTCAAATGTTTTTGGTTACTGTTTTGATTCCAGTGCGAGTCCCTGACTTTGGGAATTGCACCGCCTCTAAAACAACATTACTTCGTTGCATTGTGAAGATGAAAGATGGCAATCACGGGTACACTGGCACATTACAGCAAATGTGAAACAGTGTTATCAGCCAGCATAATTCTGCTGTTCCTATCGTCCCTCCTCTTGCCAACATGATATCTTCAGTGGGCTTGTTCCAACTGAAAAAAGATAACACTTTATTAGGGCAATAAGCCTTCCAAACTGCATGCACTCCAAAAGGACTACAGTGGGCTTACAATAATTCAAACTCGGATAATTTATACTTCCGGTCAATTTAAACAAATTTCAAAATTTTGGTTGTCCCGCTATGTTTTCCATGTATTCATAAGCCGCTTAATTCGAATGGCGTTTTCGTGTAATTCATACTTTTTGTTCCCGTGGCTCCGTTGAGTGCGCTTCTTTCCGAGCACCGGTGCACTGCAGAGAGGCAAGACCCGTGGAGCTTGCTTCTGCCAGTGTTGCTTCTCTGCACTGCGCCGGTGCTCGGGACGGGCGCACTCAATGGGGCTCAAGCGGGGCAGAGCCGTATACACCAACTCATGTTTACAAACAAACCGGAGCGTCCCTAGCGGACGCCACCGGTGCCGCCCATGCGCGATGGGGGTGTGGGCAAGAAGCTCGTTGTCTCCCATCAACAAACCATTGGAATGGGACGTTGTCGGCGTCGGTGTGAGTCTCCGCATTCTTTTTCGCGTTGGAATTGTTGATTCTACGTCTTCCTTTCAATGTCTGACTACTTGAGTGGCCTCAGCAAAACTAACGAGGCTCGTTATACCGCAAAACTTGGTGTGAATAATGTAAAATGCGACGATTCATTTTGCGTGAATGCCGCAGAATGGACAATAAAGCCTGATTCACATGGTGAGGTTCTGCTCGCTATTTTCGGTCATGACGTCACTCGGGCTACAAAAGCCTGAACTGTAACTGAGATGTCGACGTCCATACTGAAAATCGCAAGCAGAATCGGACCGAGTGAATCAGGCATAGCAAGTCGGTGATGACCACTGGTAACAATTATCAACATCTCCTTTTATCTTCTGTTTACATTGAGCCTACTTACCCGAAGCAACCTTCAAACTTAAATGTCTTTTGAGGTCTGCACTTCTTATTTGCAATTACCGGGTCAACCTTAAGGCTACAGGCCGCTGTCGTTTGAACGAGCAGACGACAAGCAGAAACGTTTGAGAGAGCAAACGACAAACAGAAACATTTGAGAGAGCAGACGACAGCTCGAACGATGAGGCAGCCATTTGAACGTGATGAAGCCCTGAACGCAGTCCGCAGGTGGTCCGTGCAACTTGACGGTTTTCCCGCGTTCATGTTGGAACAAAACAAATAAATCTGACGATCACAAGTATCCGTGATATCAACCCAAAGTGCTTTCCGCCCAAGCAATCATGGTCCGATGGCGTCCGTTTTTACTTTTTAACGGCCCCTGTTCACGCTCTCGGACGAACCGAGCAGGCAAAAAACGCATGAAAACTGACCGTCAAACCTTTCCCGACTCTTTAGGTAAAAGCCTAGCCGCGGAATTTTGACGAGAAGGCAAGTTTTTGTCCGGTCTCTTCCGAAGTACTACAAGAATGCACGTGCCCTATGGCCGCTTGCGCCCACAGCCCCAGACCGGAAGTGCGCCAGACGCGCCACCACCGCGCCATGACGTAACAGAGATGAGTTTGTGTATACAGATAGGGTTTGGTCAATGGGAGGAGCGGGCAGAGCCAGAGCGTGCACGAGACACAAATAGAAGGCGTGACGTGCTTTCTTTGCCAATCAGAAGCCGAAAGATGTAAAAATCGAACTTGCCGCTCAAACTCCTCTTTGCTCGGGTAAAGTCTGACCGCACAGACGGCATTTTCCCGGCCCTGGGCGCCTACCGTAAGGAAACTGAATTTGCATGACCGTGACCGAAAAATCACATGCACTATATTTTCAGTCACCGAGAGTTTCCCTGACGCACTTAATAATTTTGTTTCTAGCGACCACCGCCAGGGCATTATTGGCGGCTTCTGGCTGGCCACATTTGAATCTGTGACGCCCTGGAACATGCTCAGCCCGCTCTCGGCCAATGGCACCCTCCTCATTTGCCTCCTATACTTCCCAATGAATGGCCAAAGTCTCTCAATATACGGCTCTGAAGCAGGGCACACGAGCTACGAAAATGGGCACCACGTGAAAATTTACATAGCAACTTGCGCGGATGTTGTGACGTGGCGGCATGGCATAAGTCCACGTCACAGCGTCCGCACAAGTTGCGCTGAAAACTGCTGTGTGGTGCCCATTTTCATCGCTCACGTCTCCCCTGTTTAATAGTCCACATTACACAACTTCTTGTCCTAATGAACAAACCTAATTTTGTTTTGAGCTGTCACGTGCTGTCTAAACAGTCCAGAATAAACATTTTCAGGGGTAAATAAACCTATGCCATACATTTCACAAATGTTTGATGCATGGTATACCTGCCTATGATCATCAGTAGGCCTACCGTAAAATACCGGGCAAGAGCCCACTCAAACTTTGGAGATAATCGGAAAAAAATGGGGAATGGGCGCTTGTCCGGTCATCAATTTTACACATAAATGTACTGTGCATATTTTCTCAGATCTCACAAATTTGGTAATGGGCACTTAATGTGGAATGGGCAGAGGCGCAGTATTCTACGGTATGTAGGCAAAATCATAAAATATTTGCTCTGTATGTGTAGCCAGTCATAGGGCAAATCATAATTTTATCTTGCATCATATGTGGATGAATTTGAGAATTTAAATCAACTTTGTGGCTTCCTGGAGTTTGAATTAATGAGAGTCCACTGTATATGTGCAGCTTTTGGGTTGAACATGATTACCATAAAAAAAACAAAGCCAATACCCCCCCCCTAAACTTGGCTGTTTCATATGTGCAGGATACAATCATCTCAAAATGCCAGAAAGCCTTCTAAGCTTTTTAGAATGTTCTGCAAAACCGTGAGAAACTTAGACGTTTATTTATTACTGCATTTACTTGCATGATGAACGCACATTTTCGCTAAAAAATGTGTGCATACTTGGGGGGGGGGGGGGGGGGGGGTGCATTAAACACACGGGGTACAAGTTCGTGTATTAACACATTTTGTGTAAATGTCATTTTAGGTGCCCGTGTGAGGCAAGTCTCTGCTAACAAAGGCACCCCCTCGGCTAGTTGTGGGTGCACCACAGTAATCATGCTCTTCAAAATATGCAACTTTTTTTAGGGTGTCTAAACATTCTTTTCGCCAAAGAAAAGACAAAGACGCTCCACGAAATTTGCTAGGCACCAAACCGAGTGAGCGTTCCTAGGCCTAACCACTTTCACGATTTCACTGTCCACAAGCAGAACACAGCGGTGTAGCCAGGGTAGTGGCATAGCCAAGGGAGGAGCTTATGGAACATCAGCCCCCCCCCCCCCCCCAAAAATCTGGCCGAAATCCAGTCCCATTGGGGCAGCAGTCAATTAACCTTGGTTGCGCACGTGACAAAAGCACCTCGTCGGCAACTTTCGTAACATGCCATCAGGGTCCCTACTTCCCCAAGGTCCCAACAAAAAGATGAGAGCCAGAACATCCAATCCAATCCAATCTATTATAAACTGGCAACAAGTATATGCTTTCATAAACAGGCACCACCGCTGTGGTAGGGCCGGCTTGTCGACAGGATTTCGTGTTGCATCTGCGAGCGCAGTTGACCTGGCGCGACTCTAGAGCAAGTTAAGGAACTTGCCTCCAAAGGGCGACGTCCCCTCCAAGCACTGCTGGATCCAGGATATATCGCAACATTTTCTCATCCTGTGCAAAAAAAGGAACAAGAAAATTGGTAAAAAGCGTCCTAGAATTTATGGCTTCTCAATCGGCCTGCTCCATAAAAGTTTCTTGAATATCGTCATATAAAGATTTCAATTTCCTTTTTGAAAAAAAAAAAATTTCCAAGCACGGGCACCGCAGTGAATAACACTGATTTACTAAAAAATGAAAGCCGTTTACAACTCCCTTTAACTCTGAATTAGAGCGCAGCTCTTGAGGAGAAGGAGGGAAGGGTACTGAGGGTCACGTGTTCTCATGGGGAAGGGGGGGGGATCACGTGACCCCCCCCTCCCCGAGGTCACCGAAGGTACCCGAGGTCCTCCTGAAGGAACCCGAGGTTCTCCCGAAGGAACCCGAAGGAACCCGTAGGAACCCGAGGTTCTCCCGAGGTCCTTCGGGAAAATTTACCCATAATGCACAGCGTGGTTACGGCCACGGTGACGGCGACGCCGATGCCGCTCAAGCCCGAAACGGGCGCCTAAGAGCTGCGCTCTAAAATATGCGATAGATTGTTTTTAATGCCTGAGGAAAAATGTTTCTTTGATCAAAAGTTACAAAGAGAAACCAAGCTTTTGTTCCATGGATGAATCCTGAGCCGTGAGTCTTTATCGCAACGAAGTACCATATTTTAGCACTGCAGAGATACATCTGTGGAGCTTGCCTCCGCAGGTGTTGCTTCTCCGCCGTGCAACGGTGCTCGGGAAGAAGCGCACTCAACGGGGCTCAAGCAGGGCACACATCAGCAATGAAAACGGTCCACACGCGGTGTGTAAGTTTTAAACACTCAGTTCACGGACTACAGTCTACAAACTATTACGAGTGTTTAAAAGTTGAAATTTCATACAGTGTGGACTACAGCGCATTCCATTTATAACAATAACACATATAACAACAAACCACTTATAACAACCAGTGTGTCAAGTTTCTAGACAATAAACAATCAGTTTCTAGTCTAGAAACTGTTTGCAGAACAATCAGCTTCAAGTCCAGATACAACAATAACTGCTTGTAAAGAATGAAAATTCAAGTTTTCTCATTATCGTTAGAGGTGGGTTGCACTATATCTACAAGTGCGGATTATACAAAGATTTGTTTTTTCCAGGTTGTTCACTACGATGGAATGTGACAGAATTTGTCGACGACAGATTCTGTTAATGGTGATTTATTCTAGGCTGGGTGTTTGTCAAGATGCTGTGCATATAATAACTTTTTAGTGTGAAACATTCTTTGGCTAGGTGTTCGGCATTTCAAGAACCCCCAAAGTGCGGCTTGGACAAAAACATGGTCGCAAGCCCCTATACCAATTGGTTGACGGGTGGGAGAGGAGTCAGATGCTCGATGCTGATTGGTTATTGGGGGGCGTATGCAGCCAGAGGTGGAGCGAGGAGAGGTAGGCGAAATGGGAGAAGAGGAGTGGGCTAGAAGGTTCTGGAAGATCACAATAATTATTGTTTCAAGTCCACACATGAAACATATTCAATTACCTTATGAAGAGTGCTGTGAACGGAGGCATCTGGCTGAACATGCTAGACGTCCTGCTAAATGAAGACATAAATGTTTGTGATGCAAGAAGAGAACACAACTGCCTAGCCTTTTTCCATACACTTTTATGTGCAGCCTATGCAGCAGCTGCAAACAATTTAAGGAAAACATTTTTTTTTCATCTGGATTTTGCTTTTGCCGGGCGTGGAGTCCGAAAAAATAAGGAAGAACAATAGTGTTTTTCTGACAACGATACAACCTAGCGCATCGCGGGAGACTGGGGTTAAATCCGCTGCAGTTTCGTGGCATCTGGGGGAAAAGTCACGCAGTTGGGAACAGCAACTCACGTGACTCGTGCAGTCACGCCGGCGGGGCTGGGAGTCAGCACGACCGACGTCACTTCCGAGAACGGTGCGAGGATTTCGGAGATTTGTTCGGCCGTCACAGAGTCCGGGAAATTGGCCATCTTGAAGGTCCAAGGCGGGGGGTGGCCCTCCGGCGCCACCTCCTCTGGCGAGGACTCCGAGAGAGACGACGTCGAGACGGCGGAAGTGGCTCGCTCCACCACATCTGCTGCAATGGATAGAGAGAAGGAACATTGGCCGCCCCATCCGCACGTCCCAAAGGCGCACGAAATTCATACCTTCTACAGGTCCCGCAACATTGAAGCCTATTCATACACTCGCGACTGCTTTGGACTGTCTGCCTCAAAACGTGAAAACACTACCCAAAAAGGTCAACTTTTTAACCTTTGGCTTAATACGAAATAAATTTACAGTATATACTGGCAGCTGCAAGGCAGAATGCAGTGCCAAGTTTCATCTGTGTACATGAATAGTGAAAGATATTATAGTCCTTTTTATCAGAAACACGCCGAAACTGTTTAGGAAAACTATCGTCACGAAACTAACGTAATACCCAACATTTTTATTCACTAGGTACTCAGCAGAATGTCTCGAGAGTACACCTTTGAAAACAAAATTTCCAAAAAGTAATTTATTTCATGCTAAATTGGCACAATCCGGTCACTTCCAGAAATTTCGGGATAATGAGTGGCTTCACATGGCCATCACATGGTACGAGATGTCACTTGATCCTCTACGCAACCACAGACGGGATTGGGGGCGCACGTGTGCCAGGCACAAGTGTCGTCTGCACCGCGCTCTTTACCACGTTTTGGTGTATACGACATTTGACGACGTCTGCACAACTGCACCATCAGTCTGCACACATATTGTGGACCATACTCCAAGAGACAATAATCAGAAAAGGTGAGACGACAACGGCCGTCGTGACGAAGGAAACGGCGGGATAGCCAGACAGCTGCCAAGGCGCGTTGTGCCAGTCAAGCAGACACCTCTGAGCGCCGAGTGGTAATGTTGCTGAAGTCACCCATTACACATGCCCGGAGAAGTAAAAGCAAGCAAAAGGGGGCAATGGTGATGACGATTAGCTCAATGTTGGCCAACACCGTAGCCTTGACCGCACTGTTGGTTGCGCCTCAATTCACCCACTAGAGTCAGCCGATTTAAGCAACTTGGCGCTTTCCAAAGTTTGCTGGACCGTTCATTTAGACAGAACAAGGTCGTAATAGTTTATGTGTGGTATCCCCAAGGTGATACTGAAGAAAACTGCATTGTATTTTCAAAAATAAAAAAAAAATGAAGTGGGGTTATTCTTTAAATCCGAAAAGCGTTGGAAGACTGAATCTGGAGAGCCAGTGCTCCCATTGGTGCTACAGTGTAGACTGCATATAACGTATGTCGCGGGAGTCGCGAAAATCCGCACTATAAGCAATACCGCGCTATAATCAAAATATCAATTTTTCAGGCCAAAATACATGCCATGAGACAACTTACCTTTCTAAAAGAATTTATTTTATGTTAGATGAAAAATAAAGCTTAGTTTGAGGAAAGTCTTTATTTCACCAGACTAGTACACTTCTCTCTAAGTGCGTCACACATTTTGAAAGAAATGAGCAAAATGGCGCAGCCTTTTAACGGCGTCACGGGTTGCGGACGGACGTTGCGAGCAATCAGCATTGCTAACCCTAATCACTTTTCTCCTGTGATGAAAACGCGTGAAAATTCGCATCCTTTATACGGTACGCGCCAGTAATACCTTCAACTTGAGCACAGGCATGAAATGCTCCAAATAAGAAATCCAGGCGATGTTCAAAAGCACAAATGCTTAGAAAGCACCACTGTAGTCGAAGTAAACAAACACAACGACACGGGCGTTTCTGCAGTCTTGAGAGTGCCGCCATGACATCGTTGCACGAGTAGTTGGATCTTCCCTTCAAGTACGTGCTGGGTTATTATAGCGACACACAACAAAAATTCACAGTCAAGGATAGTGCTTTTACGCGGAACGATGAGGTTCCACCACTACGTCTACGTCGACGATTACAACCGACGCCATGTTTGCCTATAGGCAACCTGCAATGCAGTTTGGTGTTACACGTTGCGCCACCTAGCGGCTGCAAAATAATGAAACTGGGTAGGCCAGGACTATTGGGGTCGTGGGGCTGCAGGCGGGCGCATCCAGAAACCACGTGTGAACGTTGCATTTCGGATCGGCGTGAGTTTTTTTGGAACCGTTTTTCGTAAAAGTAAGTCCCAACTTCACGTCTCTATAACCTCACTGGGTTCCTGTGACATCTTGCCTGCTCACAGAGTTCCCCCAAAAAATAAACGTTGCTACTGCTGCATGAAAGACGGCCACAGTCGCGAAGGTGACTCGAACGTCAAACTTCACCGCTTCCCTTCGAGATCTTGGGAAGCGATACGGAGACAGAAGTGGATTACTGCAGTGCAACGCAACAAGTACGGTAAGTGAATTTTACAGAAACTGTTGGGGCGGAAGTGAACGAAAATATATGTGCAGGCTTGGAAAGTGGTCGGACGAACTCATTTTGCAGACTACTCGGTCGGCAAAATAACATATTTATACAAGTTGTATTACGAGTCGCTTTGACAGCCACATTAGGGAATTACGATAGGAACAATCGGGCCGATTGTTGCTTCGCTGTGTGGCGAGAATCGGGCGAACGGCATGATCAGGTCTTCAAGCGAAAGGCCCGTCAGCCCGTTCCGGCACTCCTAATGCCGTTCGGCACACGTGGTCGCAGCCAAAACCTTCCAGACCTGCGAGTTCTCAAATAGTGGATTTTCGTAGCCCAAAGTTTTGTTTGTTTCAGTAACCAAAGTTAATGCTGAGTCTGGTAACAAATGTAATGGCGTGCAGAAAGCAGGATGCTAAAGTTTTTCTTTAGAAAAATCTCGTGCGAAGCGTAAACATCCTTCTTGCACGTACACTTTGTTGCCTGTCGCCATTTTACACCATTCTTTGCAATGTGTGTACGGTTCTGTAGCATGCAGAGTTTGGTTCTAATTACCCAAATTTTATTCTAGTGTGTGTGGGCGTTGGGAGGAGAGGACGGCCGAGCGAGGCGCGAGCCGTTCTGGCTGGTCTGGCCCATGGCGATTCCCGGGAGCATTCTACCAGCGAAGTTGGCGAAGTTGGGATCAGGACCGGCGGAAGCGGCGAACCCTGACCATACTGGCCTAGTCCATGACGATCCTGGAGTGGTTCTGCAGCGATACTCTGGCTGTGATAGCCCAGAACAGCTAGCCTACATAGCACTGGCGTGGGAAGGGCGATCCGCAGGCCTGGACACGGGCTCCGGCTGTGAGCTCTGAACGACGGGCGACAATTACTAGGGTCGGCGGGTCCAGACTGCCGGCTTTCGAAGACACGCAACCGGGATGTACAATAAACCCATTCGCTGCCTTCTCGTTGTGTTTTGACACTTCCTGGGAGACGCGCGAAGCACAGACTGATCGGGCGGGCACAAGTGGTGAAGACAACTCAAACTGGTTTCCAAATGACACTCTAGAATATTCTCTAACACTTGGACCGGTATCAAGGCTCCTGATGGTCTTAAAAAAATCGCATAAAAGAACCAGGGACATGGCACGCAGGTGCACACGGGGACTGCTGAAATCGGTGTCGCCGCCGCTCGCAATGGCCCGACGGGCAAACTGGCCGCCCCATTAACAGAAACGCCTCCGCTTGTGGCGCTGAATGCAGTACACTCGTGGCGCCGCCTGGCCATTGCCGGCTGCCTATAGAAGCAGTCGGCCTGCGACCGGCATACAACGCGCGCGAACACTTCTCCTCAACCTGCGATTAGTCTGTCGTTGCGGTTGTTTGTTTCTCGTGGTTTCCAACGCAGTGGAGGGACGCACGCACGTGAACGACACGTGCGTGCTTCCCTCCGTCGCTATAGCAACTGAAGGCTCTCTCTTCGCTTCTCCCCACTTCTTCGAGCAACCTCTTTGCCCCGCGAGGGCCGCTTGCGGCTAGCGCTGTTATCTAGTGTCGCACAGGGAAGCGTGCTCGCTGCGGTCAGTCGGCGCGGTCGGCGGGCTGCTCCAAAAACCACACTATAACCAATATTTCCCTACGCGCGCCTGCATTTTAAGCGGTATGTGAATACATGCAGTTCTATGGGAGGCGAACCGGTGGTTTAAAAAAGCCGTGTTATATTTGGTCCAGCACTATAAGCGGTTACGTTGTAAGAGGTCTATACTGTACCTGCAGAGCATCCGGTATGCCAAGTGAGCATCACATGCGCAAAGCGTCCGATTTAAAAACAAGAAATAGCCCAGCAAGGTGAAACATTCTGTGTATATAACATTTTTAGTTCACCAAAGACATAACAAATTGCAACATGTCCCGTGGTGTGCTCAGTTTTGCGTTTAGGCAGGCACTTTCAAATCTGTAATCACTGCCATATATGTGTAGTAGTGTTGTGCCAATATTCGAATTTTCGAATAGTACTCTATTCGATATCCGCTTCAGGAGCAGTTGTAATATTCGTGCTTTTCGAAGTGTTCGCAGACTCACGGTCGCAAGTTTGTTTTCTGTCTAAAGACCATGAAGAAACAATATCTAAAATCAGGAATATGCTCACACGTTTGGCAAAATGGCATAAATATTGTGGTAAGAACTTTGAAATATATTCATCGTAATTATTCCATCAACTTTTTTAATAACGGGCAAAAGAAACCGAGCAACGAACTCCAGAGACGCCAGCGCCATCTTCGCCAATCTTGGCGCCCTGGTTGCCAGCACTCTTTTCTCACCACCGCCAAATCCAGACATAAATTTAAAACAACAAGCTTAGGATAAAAATAAATACCTTTAGAAATTTCTCATAACATGCATACTTGCTCAGAAACTTTTATTTCCGATAAAACTCATAAACACGGTTTCAAAACATTTAGTCTATAATATTTTGAAGGAATATTATATTATTACAGCGACAAAGTGAGTGGATGACATCGACACTGTCAAAATGACGGCAGCTAAGTCGGTTGGCAAGATGGACTAACGACAGCGTGAGAAGTCCAGTTTGGAAGTATTTCTGAAAACTTCCATCTAAAAACGGCCAAGTTTTTTGAACGGCAAGTATTCAATATTCAATTCGAAAATATTTGACCAAAATCACTATTCGCTTCGAATTCGATTTGAACTCAAAATCCACTATTCGCACAACCCTAATGTGTAGCGCTGGCCATCAAAGGGTTCAAGAGTGTCAATAGATGCTCTTGGGCTCCGTCCTACTCCAATATGTTCATCTTCCGTCTTTGTGAGAGACAACGTACCGATTGTTGGCACAACAAACGTTTTGGCGAATCGGCCTGCGGCAAGGTACCCTAGTCTAAATGTCAGGAGATGTGGGACATCCCCCGATTTGAGACTGCCACTGCCATTGTAGAACCCTTCTGTTACTACTACAGGTACCCTTTATCAACAAGGAAGCCCGCATTGCCGTAAGGCATTCTAGCAGGGAGTGGGTTTTACCAAACCTTCTTAAAGGGACCATGAACGCAGTTTCGAAGTTTTATTCGACAATAAAATGAATGTCAGGCACGTCTCAGATACTGTTGACCAAGTTCTAGCCCGAACAGAAGTTTGGGTGCCGCACCAATCGAGCAAACAGGCGCGGTAATAATAGCGCCGGGAACGATGCCTGAGACCCCACCGAGGCGGCGGCAGAAAGGTGAACTAAAACGCGCCGAAGCGTGACGACAACGGGCTCCTCGTCTGGCGATTGGTTCAAACGATAGACGTGCTCTTGGTTTCGATTTCGGTAGCGAGATGGGATGAAAATTTTTTATTTGAACGTTGGATAATCTTTTGAAGTTGTAGTTGGAAACTAATAGGTTTCATACCGTGTACCGTAAAATCCCGTAAGGGCGCCCTCCCCCGAGAGATCGCCCATCCCGTTTACCTGGCTAAACATCTGTAACATAAAAATTCCGAAACATCGCCCACCCTTTGATTTCCGGTGGACGTCAAGCGATGTCCGACGGGAATCGCGCATCAAAGGCGCGATCGGCGGTACCGGTGTGTCGACAAGCGAGTTCATAGCGGGTTCCCGCGTTTTTGTCTGCGATCTGCGCGCGATATCGGCTCGCGTAACACGCTAGTTGTTGCCGCGTGTATATTGCATCGTGAAATGCGAATCTGCTGCGCTTACGATTTGCGGTATCCGTTCCCGAGTTCGTGGCGGATTCCCGTGTTTTCGTCCGCGATCTGCGCGCGCGATATCGATTCTAAGCAGTAACACGCGCGAGTTGTTCCTGCGTGTATATTGCATCATGAAATGCGATTCTGTTGCGTCCGCGATCTGCACTATTTGTTTCAGTGACATGCGAGTTCGTAGCGTATTCCCGTGCTTTTGTCCGCGATCTGCGCGCGCGATATCGGTTTCCGTGACAGGCAAGATTGTAGCGGGTTCCCGCGTTTTTATTGCATCATGAAACTTGAATCTGCTGCGTATGCGATCTGCGGTATCACTTCCCGTAAGATGCGAGTTCTCGGCGGGTTTCCGCGACTCCTCCGCACCGTGAAACGCGAATCTGCTGCGTCGGCCACTTGCGGTATCCTTTCCCGTGACACAGGAGTTTGTAGCGAACTCCCGCGTGTTTATCGCATTATGAAACGCGAATTTGCCATGTCCGCGATCTGCGGTATCAGTCCCCGCGTCACTTGGTTTGTAGCGGGTGCCCCGGCGCTTATCATTAATTTTGATACAGTTTTGCTGTGGCGTCCGTAAAGATAGCCCACCCCATGTTTTTCACCATTTATCTCTTCATTTTGGGTGGGCGTTTTTACGGGATTTTACGGTATAAAAGCATAATCTGAAGCGATCTCTCCGTTTGTCACTGGTTGAGCGCATCCCGCACTGCTACCTCGGGCGCGTAACAAGCATCGGGCAACCATGGACAAAAAAAAAGAAAAAGAGGTACGAGCGCCGGGGGCGGCGGACTTTTGGTTTTGGTTTCGTGCGTCGTCTCGTGTTCGCTTTGCGAACTGGTGTCTCACCAATCATGCCGCGTTTATGTGCAGTAGTAGGCTGCGCGAAAGGTAGGCTAAAGACGTGCAGTCGATCGGGCGACGTTAGTTTGCATAAACTGCCGACCGATGCAGCAATGCGCAGCATTTGGTTGCGTGCCGTCGTCTTGCGTAGAGCTGTGGATAGCGGTGTCAGGATTTGTTCGTTGCATTTCCGACCAGAAGACTTTGAGCAGCACCCTCACGACAGCCGGAGTCTGGGTAAACACATGAAGTTCCCACGTCTGAGGAAAGATGCTATTCCCTCACTTTCCTTGCGCAAGGAGCCCATACCACAGCGGCAGCGTCCTTAGCAGCATCTCCCGTTCAGTCGACGTGAGGTCGCTGAACGGGAGCTCAAACTCGTTTGCGAGCGCGGCGTTGTCGTCCATTCCTTCCAGGTTTTCTTCACAGACCGCCGTGCACTAGAGCGAACCACGGGAACCACACTGAGTGTGCACTAATCCTACCGATGCCGACAGTGCTCTCTGACGTCACTTCTCTTTCCAGAGGCGAAAAAGGGAAGAAATCTGAATGTTTGTTTCGGTTTCGCAAATTTATTTGCAGGTACAAAAATGAGTCACAACTTTCTAGAAAAAATTGTGTGGCATGCCAGGACCCCAATGCTTCCGAAAACACCTTCTTTTTGAAAAAAAATTATATTGCCTTCATGGTCCCAGGAATATACATCCCAGGAATATATATATAAAATTTATCAAAACATATCTAGTATAAAAACTCACGTATAAGGAACTATTCATGAGCACATCGCTGGAATTACAAAAAGAAAAATCTATTTGCACAGCTGGAACATAAGAAGCACTACCGAGAAAAACTGGAAAAATAAAAGCGCCATCAATAAAACACCAACCGAAGTACCATTTTAAACACTAGAAAATTTGTCAAGAATACTCCACTCTTCAGTTCTCGGGGAAAAAAAGAAATAGCAGACGCATGCGCGACAGGAGCACGGTTAGATTTTGTTCGGGTGGTCCGCTCTTTCCGATATATAAAACGGTTCCTGTAAAAACAGGTCCCTATTTATAGTTAGTTGATTGTTATAAATGTCATCTAGAAATTTTAACCCAAAATATTTTATGCTTTGTTTCAGCGTCCGGAAGCACCCAACGCAACAAGGCAATGGGACCAATCGAGCAGCATCAAAAGCACAAGTCACCAGGTCTCTTCCGTTTATGGGTTGTTCAGAAACACAACGAACGCCACAATGGTGCGCCTTAGACGCCGTCCGATCGGTCCCGTCTGCTCGCGGCGTCGCTGCGTCTGAACTTGAGGCGAAACGATGTATAGCTCTACCGGTAGCAAAAGTCCGCACTGGTGCGGACTCTCGACCTCATCGTCTAGGTGACGTAGGTCTGCAGGTACACATACCACACATCTCCAAGCCAATGTGACGCTTCCCCGCCGCCGTCACGCCTTCTTCGTCGCTGAGATCCGTGCTGTCATCCTCGGAGCTCGCGGAGTGAGACTCCCTGGCATTGGCCCACGATGCTCCACATTCCAGGCTATCTGCGCCGACAAACTCGGCCGGATTGAAAGACGGCTTCTTGTTCGTGGCCTTAGATGGCAGTGAACCAGTCTTCTTTGCCCAGAACTGAGGTTCCTTGGTGGTCGACCGCTCCGGGTTTGAGTGGACCGCTTGTTCCGTGGTCTGCGCGACCTGATTCCGATGCGAGCCTTCGGAGGGGATGTCACTCTGAAAGAAGAGCGCAGAAATCTTGGATGAGTCGCGGGCACTTAGGCATTCTTCTTGAGCTAGCCAAACTACCGTAAAATCCTGTAAGGGTGTGTCCCTATAGGATTTCACATGCTCGTTATATACCCGTATATAACGAGCACGTGCAAAGAGTAATTTGTTTTAGGTTTTTGGCTTCCCAGCTAAACATTCTCATTAGACCCAATTGGAATTTTAACTGGTTTTAATTAGAACCATCTGGTTTTAGTGGGTTCCAATTGCAAGCGCTCTGGCCAATGGGTCTTACCAATTGGAAAAAAAATTTCCAGTTGGAAACTTAATGGGTTCCAAATGGGTCCCATTGGAGTGACCAATTGGTTGTCCAAAAACCTAACTGGTACCAATTGGAAATTCCAATTGGAATCTAATCGGGATTTTCAGCTGGGTTTAGGACGGTTACTGCAGCAGAAGCCAGCTCGTGCAGCGCGTGTAACTACTTACAGTCTCGGCACGCTCCTTGGCGCTTGAACAGTTAGCAAAAGTCCCATTAATATGCACGCATGGTTTCTGTTTTGTGGAAATATTGATCCACTAGTGAAGACATCCTTCAGTGGTTCGTACCATATCGGCATCTAAAAAACAACTTTGTCAACAAGTAGTTAGCCGCAAATTGTTTCTAAATATGTTTTAGTATCTAATGTAAAAAATGTGAAATTTCGCAGAAAATCATCACTGCATGCTGTTTAGCAAATACAGTCGCCGACCGATTTTTCGGACGCCAATAATTTGGACTTGTTCAATATTTCGGACCTAAAGAAAGAACGAAGACCTGCCTGATAGAAATAGTGCATTTTCACGACCAATATTTAGGACGGCTTGAAGTTTGAAAGTTTGATTATTCGAACAAAATCGTTGCAAGCGATTTGTAGGAAACACCACTGAGAACCCGCTACTTTAGGTTCTATGTTGGCTGTACATGGATTGGCTTGGTTTGGCAGCCCTACCTGAGTACTGCTAAGTCCTACCGCTAGATGCACCATGCTACGGCTTTTCTTTTCTCTAGCTGCACGCCATTATCATCATCATTTTATCATTTTGCTTTGTTCATTCTCCATTCTGCAGTCGTGGACCTTGCGCTTCTCATCTCGTCTCGGTGAATCATGTTTTCATACTACGCTGGCTTGGTTGTCATGGCCCCTCTATTCTTCCGCCGCCGCAAAGTGTTGCTAAGAAGTGCGGAAGGTACTCGACCATAATGCTAGAAAAGAAGGCAGCGATTCTCAAGCTAACAGAAAGTGGCCGAACGCAAGCAAAGGTGTCGCCCCACTTAGATGTAACAAAGGCAAGTTTTTTTAATCTTCTGATTTTTCAACCTGCTCTATTATTCTGATGTTTTTTCGGTCCCTGCAAAATCTGAAAGATTGGTCAGTAGAAAACTGCCAAATCACTCAAACACAAAATTGTAAAATATGTATCATAGGAAGGTGCTTAGTAATTAGCTAAAAAGCATTAGAAACGCAAAACTTTAATAACCTTTTTTTTTTTTTAGCAGAGGTCTATTGATCGCCAGGTCGCAACATGCACATGTGTGTTGGTTTCAGCCATAACGCTTGTGGGCACGCCAAATGGAGAAACCGAAAATATTAATTCAGCGGGGTCTACATTCAATATACATTTTGATAGATATCTCGCTACAGTGAAAGCCGGTTGGAATGAACCCACGTACAGCGAATTATTTTCGATATCGAACTCACAGAAAATTTCGATAGAAATGCATGCAAAAAGTGTTTTTTTTTTTATAACGAACAACACATTGGCTATATCGAAATTTTTCCCCCGGGAAGGCTTTCAAAAATGCGCAAAACAATCGTCTTCTAGCCCGTCCCTTCGCCCCAAAAAAAGGTAAGAAAGAAAATCAAATTTCAAAAGCTTAAGCTGCAAATAAAATTGAGCGGAGAAGGTATTCAGAAGGAAAAAAGATGCTAAAAAAACACTGCTTGCACACAAACAAAAAAAAAAAAACAATTTTCATCCCAAAAATATTGCCCACGAACAGAAGCGATTCAGAAGGGGAGATAAGCTAAAATAACCAAATCTGCAGGCATAAAAAAAATAAAAATAAAAATAGCGTGTTGTTACAAGGCAGAAGCGAAAAGACGAGAAAGAAAGAGGAGCTCTCGCCTTACAACGAACGCATCGTGGAATTTTGTTGTAAATGGTTTTTGCTATATCGAACTACTTGCTATATCGAACTGATCATAGCATTTCCTGCTGTTTGTTATAAACGGGTGTGACTGTAAACATCTAATAATGTTGGGACTAGCACAGGAATATGTGGCCAATGCAAACAAATTACAACACTCTTGCATCTGGTATTTGTTCTTTCTTAAAGCACTGACAGGAAAATATGATCCCAATGATCAACGAGATATGGCAAGTTCCCCTCAGGAACACTGAAAATGCCACGCGAACATGTATAGAAGAAAATGCAATGACCACCGGCGCCTAAAAAAAAAAAAAAGTGAATAAGGTTTTAAAAATGTCTACACCTCTAAATAAATTTTGACATCAAGCAACAGAATTGTGTTTACACCATATCTAGCATTCAAGAAAAAAATGCAAGCTTGCAACCGTAAAGGCTACTTCACGCATTTGCATTTGAGTGTGGAGTCTCTTCCATTCTGCATAGAACCCAACTGAAGGAGGTCTCGCACAATTTCCAAGATCAAATCTATGCACAATCTATGACAGGTGGTCTCTTATAATACTGTAAGAAAATTTCTGAGTATGCGGTGAATGAATGATGCGTAATATATACGCAGATGAGCCAGCGCTGCTCGATAGATAGCGTCGGCGCATTCTTTCGCCGCAGACGATCACGGGCCATTGCAACGCAGTCGGTCATGCTCAAGCTCAAATGTGTGAACCAGACTTAAAGGTCGTTCCATGTTTGACAGGTCCCATCCAATGTCGCAACACAAAATCAGGTCAACTTGCTTCCAGTGTTACTTTTGCTGCAATTGAACAGACCCATATCACTCCGGTTTTACGAGACGGCCACCGAAACAGATGGCGTCAGCAATGTCTAAACGCAATAGACATTCCCTCGTCACTTCAGTTCTTTCGGCTGCTTCTGCTAAAGTCGGAGGCTCGGCAGCAGCTCTGAGTTTAATGTCTCGAGTTCCTAATGCCACCGAATTCCCTTTCGATGCGGTAACTTTCAGAGTGAAAATGAATGATTACCAAGTTTTTTCCGGGAGCTATGAAAAATTACCTCATTACTAACACTTCATAGTGTTGGCACCTACGAAATCACGGAGTTACCAGTGGGACAGTTGATTGCATTGCGAGTGCGTTTTTCTCCTAAAGGGCAGCAACTCTGGTCAATTTCAAGAATTTTGAGTTAATGACTGATCTATGCCATTTCTTTCCAAAAAAAAAGTGTAATATGTTTTGCGCAATCTTCATTTAAAGCTTGCCACAAACCGAAACCTTGCTTGCGGCGGGCAACATTGCTTCTGTGTTGTCAGCTACATGCACTAACCACATGGTACAAAATCGAGACGTCACATAGCAAGCGGGCGGGCGAGCACAGCTCAACGCAAAGGCAAAAGTGCCGGCTGCTATGATCAGCAGTCTGCTACACCTGACGACGTCCTCACTACCGTGGTTGCAGCTCGTGTTTTAGAGCAAAAAAAGGCAAGTTTTCACAAGGGCTTGTTTTAAAAAACGTTAGTAGAAATTGAAGTTCAGTAAACCAAACGTAAATTTGTCGCGACAGGTTTGTATAAGTATGCCACGCTCAATGTCTCAAACTGACTCTCTCGCACACGATAAATGCTGCCGGCGATGACGCATGCTTGCACGGGAGCACACAGGCGCATGCGCGTTCCGCGAATCGCATGGTCAACAATGACCACCTGCAAAAGCTAGAGGCGGTGCAATGACTTGCACCGCATGTAGCCTTTGCTTAAAAAGGTACAAAAGAAGCGCACAAATCCCCCAGGAGCCTCGAACACGACGCAGGCAGCGCAGGGTGGGCTGCGCCGACAGTGGTATTGACTGCGCTGCCTGCTTTGCCGCGCCTTGTTCGCTAGAATTAGCAGATTTTTGGTGATTTTGCACACACTTTCAGCGAAATTACATTGAAATATTTAGCATGTGGTCTCTTTAGGCAATACCGAGGAGAAGTGCATCACTTTCTGGATATGTGAAATTAAACGGACTTGCCTGTTAAAAGAACCACAAACTGTTTTAGAATTCAAGTCAGCACAACAGACCTCCAAGATAAAAAGCGATAAAATTGGTTTCCATCAGGACATTTAAAAGTTAAAAGCGTAGTTTTTTTGTTTTTTTTTTTGTTCTCATTGGGAATATTTTTTGTCTTCATTTTTGCACGTCTGAAACTGTGATGTTTCTGGCCGCAGAAAGTGACGGGCAAACGCAGTTTGTAGGTTGGACACGAACACTACGTCGTAGCTTGGGTTACGCCCGGGCACACAAAGTGTGTCGGCAGATATTCCGGAATGCATCCGTAACCTGTTGATTGTGCCTCAATTAGCCCGCTAGAGTCAGCCGATTTCAGCAGCTTCGTGCGTTTCAAAGTTTTGCCAGAGTGTTTGAAAAACATTTAGACAGAACTAGGTCGGAATATTTGATGTGTGGTCTTTCTAGGTGGCACTGAAGACTGCATAATTTTTTCAACAGCAAAAATAAAGCAGCGTTGCCCTTTAACAATGCATAGTGAGTGGCAACATGAGCTGGCCCAGTTTAGTGCTAGCCAGTGGTAAAATGCTGCATCAAGTACTTCCAGTATGCTAAGCAACGAAACTCATTGCCACAGAGCAACAATAGGAAACACACCAATCCATTCCAAGACGTTTTAAAAGCTTTTCTACCAGTTTTTAACGATCACAGTCACTACAGAGTAGGGAACGACAACTGCCCTGTAAATTAGGAACATTGGAGGCAATGTCCAAGACGTATTAAGCTGAAGCGACAATGTCCTGCCACGGTCCCCTCGGTGCCATTTTGTGTGAAATGACTTTTCCAATTTTTATAGAAACTTCATACGTTGCATTTGCACATGATGAACACTCGAGTACTTTAGAGGTATCTTTGAGGCAAGTCCCGCACCGTCTCCCCTCAACCCACAAGATAAACATTCCCGTAAGAAATCGAGTCACAGAAACGCCCCCAACAGACACGCCGACGCCAATGTTGGGAAGTACTTTAAGTACATTGTACTTAAAGTACTACTTCAAGTAGGTTTAGGAAACTTGTACTTTACTTGAAGTACATTCTCCGAGTATGTACTTATACTTCACTTAAAGTATTTTTTTTCTCATACTTTCTACGGAAAGTACAATTCCCGACTTCAAAGTACATTCCCCAAATTTGGTTTTGTTAAATTTGTATCACGAAATTATGCTTTGTGTCAACTCCGAAGAAAAACTGGGAGCGATATCCTACTCTTGTCAGGAACGTGAGCAGACGACACATCGCTCCATTTGTTCTCGTAGCGGCTTTCCCGTAGCTTTTTGAACTTTCGCTACTTCTCGGTTGGTCAGCGCAAGCGAGGAGGTTTAAAATATTAGGAGAGCGAAATTAATCGTCATGTAGCACCTGAGACTGTGGTGCCGAACAATTAAATTTTCAAGTAGAAGTAAAAGAACAGAAGAGAACGTCACAATGCTTTGAGACATTATCTTTTGTCTTTTCCTTCTATTTGAAAGTTCCTTAACTTTTTTGCACTCCAATCTCAGGTGTCACATTATGATTAATTATCACCAGCGCACTTGCACACTCACTATTTTTTGCATTAAAGAGAGGACACTTCTCTGTGAGAGGATTGCTTGCGGAAGCTACGGGACTGACGTAATGCTCTCTCCTAGTACATTTAGCCTTTCTTGAGTTCAGCAACCCAGTGTAAGGGGCACCAAATTCAGAAGAGGGACTTCTGAATTTGGCTCCATTCCTGAAAATAACTACCCTGTGACCCCTTGACTTTATCAAATATTCGCCACTGTTTCTGAAAATTGGCCAAGCATCCCTGATTACCTCAGGGCCCTGGGCAATGCATACCAGTTAAAAAATCACTATATAGGGGAATGAAAGGGCATCATGAAAGATTGTGCTAAAATACTTGTACTTTACTTTGAAAGTACATTGTATATATAGTACTTGACTTCAAGTATGTTGGACCCAGTGTACTTAATACTTTACTTAAAGTACATCACATCTCATTTACTTTGTACTTTACTTGAAGTACCTTTTAGATGTACTTTGCCCAACACTGGCCGACGCATCCCAGCATCAAGAAACATTCGAAACATCCTACAAACCTGCCAGCCATTTTCGGTGCGCTGCCTGATGCCTTGTGGGTTTTCCAAGCGCTTGGATTCGGAGGGCCTTGGATTCGAGGGCCTTGGATTCGAGGGCCTTGGATTCGAGGGCCTTGAATGTGGAGGTCTCATTCTTCCACGAGCTAAGGAGCACCAGAGAAACCAAACAGTGTGTTCAACTTTAGTTAGGGTGCTAATAAACGAAACTCTACAGATTGTAGAGCTACTAGCAAGGAAGTACCCTATACAGCACGGGTGGCCAAGCTGCGGCCTGCAAGCCGCATGCGGCTCTTCGTGTGTTAAAGTGCGGCTCGCGGCTCTCTCCTCTACCCCCCTCCCCTCCCCACTCCACCGCTTCCCTCCCGGTCACACAAGCACTTCCCCTAAAAGACAAAAGGAATGCATTTTAAATCGAAAGACAGGTTGCGGTTTGGCAGTTTTGTGCTACTGCTATAGTCCGCTGCAACTCAAGAGGGTAGGGCAAAGGGTAAGACGGGCCAGGGAGGAGGAAGCAGACGAAACGCTGGAGAAGAGGGGAAAACCTCCTTCTCACTTTAGCTTTCCATCTGTTTCCTCCTCCCCGGCCTGTCTTGCCCTTGCCCTACCTTCTTGAGTTGCAACGGACTATATCTTACGTACAGTTGAACTGCTTTTGACTCATATAGGTTGAAAGTATTTCGAGTTTCGTTTATTGCTCTGGACAAAAGTTTGACCCTCCCGCCCGCTGCTCTTGGAAGTTTCAAGGTTTTGTCTGCGGCTCTTAGGCCGGGTCAGCCTGGCCACCCCTGCTATACAGTATAAACTCATTATACCAGGCCTTGATAGCGATTGAAATTTTGGTCCATTGTAAAAGAAGTGTGTAGAACGCAGATACTCTTACTACGAACTTTGGCGCAGACTATGACTCGAGTTCGATCTAACCAGTGAGACCAACGAAATGCACATGGATATTAGAAAAGAACTGGTTTACTGAATGAAACTTCTGAACTTTGAAAGGTGGTCATTTTAAAAGCGCAGCTCTTAGGTGCCCGTTTTCGGCTTGAGCGTCGCCATAACCGCGCATTGCATTATGGGAAATGTCCCATACAGTGATGGAAGTGCCATTTGACCTTTTGGAGCAGGCCTTCTAGCAGGCAAAATGTTGTTTTGGAGCAGGTAGTGGCCCTTTTGGAGCAGGGTCCGGCATATGTTGGCATATTACTTGAAAATGAAATAATACTGCATTGCTATATAAAGCCCATCTCTATTATTGGAACACAACGCCTGTCGCCTTTTTAAGACAGGATATATAAGATTCAACAAAGTAAACACACAAAAAAACATTTTTTAAATGAAGTTTATCTGCTCCTCAGATTAAAAAAAATACAATTAAATATGTCACACTGAGTTCTGATGGTACCCAATATTTTGTTTTATCAGCTTGCGCTTCTTTTAAGGCATTCGCAGCAGCATTTAACGACCCTCACTGTTGTGGAATGTTTTAGTTCAGATTAGAGTTGTCTTTCGGGCAGCAGCTTCAAATATTGCGGTATCTGATATTCGCTTGAAAAATTCCGATTCATTTTCGATGTGCTGGCGAAGTCACGATCGAATCACGGCGAGTTAACCTGTTGAGTGCGCTCATTGGCATGCACGACGCGCTGCAGAGAAGCAGTGCCCGCGGAGCAGACACCGCAGTCGCGCGAGTCGCGCAGTGCTTTTGTGCTCCGAAAAGGACGGTGAGGCTTTACCAGCGCTACATCCAGAGTTTGGTGCAACTCAACTATACTTCGTTTCAGCTTCGGTGCGAGCGCAGCCAAAGCTACAAGCGCGCGCATGGAGCCTGTAACGGTGCCCACACTGCACAAGCCCACGGGCAAGTCAGGAATGCACAGAGCATTGGGCTCGCACTAGCTTTGACTTCGCTGGTAGCTAGCGCACGGGAACAGGGCGGGCCAACAATGAAAACATCTACAAGCTCGGCCTTTTTTTTCTTTTTTTAGATAGGCTGCTCAGTGGGATGGTTCTTCGCTTAGCCTCTGCGGCTTTGGTCTCAGATGTTGCTAACGTTGTTCCTTTCAATGATGATGATGATAATGCACCCTCGCAGTTTCGGTTTGCGTAACAGTTGCGGCGCAGAAAATACCGCGGTACCGCCATGCGCTCTGATAAGACTTCAATTTTTATTTTTTATTGCTACATCTCATCTCGGCGCAGGCATGGCGCAGTTCTTCGGTAAAATGACAATTTGGCGCTACATGTAGCAGGATTGCGTCCTTGGCGCAATTTGGGCAGCACTTCCATCACTGCCCATAATGCACCGCGCAGAACCCTCGTGACGTCACAAGGGTCTTGCGCAGTGCATTATGGGACATTTCCCATGATGCAATGCACGGAGAGGAGGAGGAGGGGGAGGAGGACTAAAGGGAGGCGAAGGGGATGAGGGGAGGGGAGGAGAAGGGGGATGAGGAAGAGAAGAGGAGGGGGAGGGGGAGGAAGAGTTTGAAGGATGAGGGGAGGAGGTGAAGGAGGAGGAGGAGGGAAGGAGGAGTAGCAGGGAGGATGAGGAGGAGAAAGGAGGGTATACCCTTCTCTCAGTACCCTTCCCTCCTCCTCAAGAGCTGCGCTCTAATTCGACGTTACAGGGTGTTGTAAATGTCTCAATATTTTATTGAGCTGCACTAATAATCATTATTCCTGCACGCTTTGGGCCACAAGAGGCTTGTAAGGCATCAAGCGCAATGACAGCAGTCTGCAAAATGATTGTCACCACCACCGAATCAAAGCCGCATAATGTCCGAAATAATGACTGCCGTCAAAGGGTCTGCTATAACGTGTCACAAACCACTTACAAACTCCTTAATGTACAAGAATGGACCGTTGGGCTAGTTGGTAAACGTTCACAATGAAAAACAGCGCGAAACACAAGGACATGGTGTACATGATGAAGAAAAGAGCGAAACACAAAGACACAGAGGAGAGAAATACATACAGAACAAAGCACCTTGTCCTGTATGTATTTCTCTCCTTTGTGTCCTTGTGTTTCGTGCTAGTTTTACAGCCGAGCTGTTGAAGGCTAGTTTCCCCAAGATCGAGTCTGGTACCAAACAAATGTCGACACAACACTTTGGTTGCCACCGTTCAGGGTGTTGTGTTTGCCAGCTGTCTGCTTGCCGCCATCACTCATAAATTGTGGCAACTTTTCCAGCCTCGGGAAACAAGACAACTGGTTGCTGCCGTCGCTCATAGATGGCGGCAACATTTCTTCGGGGGAAGAAGAGCGGGAACGAAACGAGCGGCGATGTGCGCAACAGCGCCAATGGTTCTGCAATCGCCGTGAGGCCGCTATCGCCTAAAGTTCCATTGCGTCGAGCGCTTCAGATTCCCTTGTGAAAGAAGAGCAGATCGCTCGTCTGGAAAGCCACCGACGAGAACAGAAGCAACAACTCCGCTGCTCTTCTTTCTTCGCCAGAGTGGAAAGGCTGAAAGTTGTTTTCATTAAGAATCCTTAACGTTGTCCATTATATACAAATGTATGTTATAAAAAGTCTTCTAATAAGCAATGTTGGCTCAATGGCATGAATAGGAAGACTAAACAAACTTAATAGGTTAGTATGTTGCAACCAGGGTTCTGCGTTTTTGGACAAATCCGCCAAACTCCGAAAAACACTTGCCGGTAAACTTTTCGGCAATTCGAATTTCATCCGAAAAACTGCAATTTCAAGGTCACAATGGCAAAATAAAAAGCAAATGACGAGGTGTTTTACAAATCAATCTTGTAAGAGCACAGTGTTGGCGGTACCGAGGAGAGGCCACTCCACTTCCCTTTGAAAAAAAATCTCAGACTACCGACAGAAGGGACTGGTGAAGGCGAGCGGGTTGAACATGAATACATAAAATTGAAAGAATAAAACACAGAGGACAAGCACAGGACAACCACTTTCTTTCATTTAGCAACGACGTTTATTCTGGGCAAAGACATTGCATCCTCAGCGAAACCCTGACAAGATAGGTTGATAAGGGGGAAGGCTAACAGGGAGATGGAAAGGGTGATATGAGGGACTGAAAGGAAACCTCGGAGATGGAAAGGTGATAAATAGGAAAGGAAACTGGGAGATGGAAGGGGTAATAGGAGAAGGAAAGGGAGAACCACGAGGCACAGGCACAACTACCGTGATGGTGTGTATTTACGGGGAGTTGCGATATTTTTCAAGTTCAGGCTTGAGGAATTCTAATTCCCGTCTTACTAAGGTTACTGAGTTCGATGAAAAGTTGTTTTCTGCGCTCTGGATGAGAAAAGATTCTATGATTTCACGTCCATGGCGATTGCGGTGTCCCCCTCTAGTCTTGGTTCCTGCGAAGTCAGGCGCGCATCCAATGCATTCGTTCGCGTGAACCGCAATCGGATGAATGGGGTTGTCGGTTGTCGGGCACGAAAACGAGGCCACTTCAAGAACCGACAATGCCATTCTGCTGCTTTGGTTTTAGTTTGGATCGCAGCATTTTTGTGTTTTACAGGGAGGACGGGTCGTGTTCATGTGGCTGTGAAAGCTACGAGCCCGTACTTTCCTAGGAGGGGGGCAGGACAGCTGGAGCCTCCTTGCTTTCCAGTGACCAAGTCCAGGAGTGTAGTCTATCTCAAAGCATTAATGTTAATTTAAGCAAAGCTTCTTTGGAAGATTCGTCGCAGGACAGTTAGCGTTTCCAATGCTAAGGGCGGCAAAGCCAAATGCAGCTGCAGACATACGATTCACTACAGGTGATGTTTCTATGAATTTAGTGTGCCATGTTTTCCGGACATTACATGCTTAAAAGTTCAAATTTTACCCGATGCAGACTATCTACAGGTGCGCAAGGATCTGTTTTTTTCTAAATCGTTCACTACGACAAGACGCGAAGGATTTTATGAATAACGAAGTATATTAATGTTGATTTACGTACGATATAAGTTCCCTTGTGAGCCAATACAGCTGGCATTTGTCAAGCTGTGCTGCGAACGATACTTTCTACGCTCGGAGTAGTCCCGGCGTGCAAACTGCGCACTGGGTGCGGACTACAGTCCGCAAAATACGGCACGTTCGCGTCCAGATAAAATTTATTTTTATTTTTAACTTTTAAAAAACTGGTAACAAAGTATGATTAAAAACTGGGACAGTCAAGAAGACAATATTAATTGGGATAAATCCTTGATTTTCAGCGAAACAAACTCAAAAAAAAAAACAAACAACCTCCGAATTTTACAGTAATATACTCTGCAAATGCGAAATCCCATGGGCGCGCTGTTTACAAATGAGCTCTCGCAAGGTGCGGGCAGATGCGCGGTTTCTGCATAAGCTGTGGGCACTGCACGTGCGCAGGAATCACATTCGCGTGAAGGGGAGCATCTGCGCTCGCGCCCTGCCGATGGCAGCTCCACCGCAGCGATGTGATGGTGGTGCCAAGTGTTGGCATACAGTTATGATTGAATGCCTTTTGTAACGAGACCTGTCGTAATGAGGTTATGCTGTAGAGACGGTGCATACGAATGTGCCTCCCCCGTCAGTCACTGAATCAAAAGCCATGTAGAAAATTGAGGCCTGCAAACACAATCTCGTTTTCCTCCGTGGAACGCCATCACGGTCGCACGGCGCCAACTCAATGCGTTGAACCGAGGCCCAGCCAAACGCCGACGCAGCACCCTCGTCCAGTCTGCGTCCGATCTCACGGTGACGAAGTAAACGTTCGACCGCATAGGCCCAGCCGGTATGGCATTGTTCGCGCAAGTATGGGATCTGATGGAAAGCAAGTTAGTTTTGTACGCAAGCATTTTCTCTGCGTTTCCCCGAACGTTTTCCTTGCTCGTGGGGAAAGGCCGGAAAGGCCCAATGCAATCGTCGCGAGCGCACGACCCTCAGTGTGAGCCAACCGAGAAATGGTGCTTCCGGTGGGCTTGTTGACGAAGTACAGAAAGAGCTCGGGCAACGCACTCACCGTTTGAGCTCGAACTCTGGGAGAAGACTTGAAGGTGGTTGGGCCGCTGATTTTTGTGGAATTTTTGGACAATGTTCATGTCGTCGTCCGTATCCGACGAGCTGGTTCCTCCTGCCTAAACACACACACAAAAAAGAAATGTTTCTTATTTACTGCTGAACTTTTAATATTACTATTGTTTCACGAAAATGAAGAAGATGGTGCTATGCACCATCTCATTCTTAGCTAACAACTCTGTCAAAGCCACTGGCGCAAGAACGTGGCTTCGCTTATCATTTTCCTTGCACGAGGACGTGCAAATCGAACCGCAGGATCAGGCCCTCATATATGCGAGCAGCAGCTTTGACAACTCGGTACATTAAGTGTGATGTGGAGTATAAGCGGATACAACACACCCCAACTACGAGAAACATTTTGTGAAACGTGTGAAATATCAACAGTTTCTTATATGTAAAAACTGGCATAAAGCATGATAAAACTTGGTCAAGGACCTGGTGGTTCTTCTGGATCCACATTATAACAGAACATTATAAGCAAGAGGGGAATAGGTGTGAGGCTGTCATAATTGTGACACTGCCATAAGTGTGAGACTGTCATAAGTGTGAGACTGTAACACGTGACCCGGTCATAAGAGTGAGCACCACAAGAGCGAGCACCACAAGAGCAAGCATCACAAGTGGGAGCCAACAAGTGCTAGATCAAGTCCACTTTCAAAAAGGGACTCGTTCACATCACTGCTGCTTAGCACGAGTTCCCCGCTTTGGCCAAAAATGAAATGCCCAAAGGCAAGGAAAGGAGGAACTAGAGAGAGTATTAGCACTGCCCGACGGATGAACATTTACTGAAGAGAAAACAAACTTAGGCCCTCCTTTGATCCCCCGCACAAACGTCTCATGTGAAGACCACAAGAGTGATGCACTGTCGCAAAACCTGGCAGCATGACCGACGGCTCGCTGTGTCACGATGTAAAGTAGCGGTGTCACGTGATTTACCAGCATGACCCGACGCTCAACGTTATTAGATCAAATAATGTTGTTGACGCAGCAAAGTTGCATGATTCCACGACTTTGCACTGCGAGTCATGTGACCCTCGTAGCCTGTGGTCTTACATACGCACACACTTGAGGTGGTCAGGCAGTGATGCGACCCATAGTGGCACCAGTCATGTGTCCGAGTAACCCACGGTGGCATCCCGCTAAATTTGGCCGACGACTGCACGGCGGCACGGCGATGCAAAACAAATCCCAACGTCACTTCCATTAAAATGCATACTGTATTAAAAACTGGCCTCAACACGACAGCCGCAAAAACACCATCCACGGCGAAAATCTAAGCCTTGCTAAGCCCAGCCTCTGTCGCAAAGAAAAGTTGTCTGGCAGGCTTTGGACACAAAACGAGGACGCTCTAAAAGAGACAAAAGTCATATTATAAACCTTGTACCGACTGCGTGCATGTGTCCACCCCGTAGAAGGCTTACCGAAAGTCATAATCAAAACCCTGAGACACGTTTAGGTCACAATGTTTCCTAACCAGCTCGCCTGCACACTTTTGCTTCTTGCAACTTACCCAATCTGCACCCTTTCCGAGAGGCCTCCCTCGCCCCAACCCCCTGAGGGCAGAGGCAGGGGTAACCCTTGCCTGGAGAACAGAACAGAAAAGAAAATAATTTTTTTCGGCCCTGAAAATTTTTAGGCTAAGAACGCAGCAGGTTAAGGTGAGGAATAAGAGGCTTCAAAAATCCGCACAACAAAAAGTAGCCATGAAAAACTAGAAAACCCGTAACACACGAGTCCCTTTCAATAAAGCAGCACCTCTCGTGTCTCTAGCAGAATTAAGTTTTTTTTTTATTGCAACCTTGCTTTCCAGAGAAGCGAAGTAGCGGTAAATGCGAGTCAGAGCACAGACGAAGGTTAAACTCAATTTGTCTTCGAGCAGACAGTGCGGTGAGAGCTACGCGCTTGCCGAACCAATCAACCACGTCCCTTTTATCACCTGACCTAGCTTTCCAAGTGTCGGTACAGGCAGGAGCTTGATCCCCCGGAAAAAGAGAGTCGTATGACTGGTCCAAACATGTAGCTTTCACTGCACCATCAGCTCAGAAGCGAACAGAGTAGAGGAGACATACATACACATTGAGGAGATGCGAACTGTATATCTACGGCGTATAATATTCCTTCCTGCAATGCACCCACGGGCTAACGGTAGCGGAAAATAAATAAGGTAAAGCCACAAGGCGGGCTAGCCGGCATATGTTTCTGAAAGATACCCCCAACTGGGGAACCAACACTGTGTGAGTACACCGAGGCATGTCCGTTTGTAGATCACATGTTTAGACTGAACAAAAAAAAATTGTTTAAAGTGCTTGGATAGGTGTGTATGGCACACAATAAACTTTCCCAGTGGCTCAGGGTGCATAATTCGAGTCTCGGCGCATTTGGCGTAATCTGCAATAAGATGCTCGATCTGCAAGTTGCGAGTCGGCCTCCAAATGCAATTTCCGGCACATCCTTGACGGCAGTGTACTCCCTTGAAGCCCTTCATATGGCAAGGTGAGGACACCCTGCCTTAGAGCAGATGGAATGACAATGCGGTTCTCCAGCAGTGGCACTCAGTCGTACACGCCCAGCCTGTCCCTCTGCTTATAGCCGATTCACCAACAGACTGAATCGCGATTTTTTTCCGCGGACCGTGTACCACGTGACCCTCACGTCACCGATTCCTGTGATCGGCGCCTCGTCCACGGACTGATAAAGTTGAGCACCTTTTTCACTCGCGCATTTTTGGCGGGAGATTGACTTGAAAAGCGTTTAGTCGGGCAACAATACAATGTTTTTTTTTTTTTCTTTTTTCGAATGATGAAAACAAAAATGGCGCATCGTTGTGCTTTGTGCGTTCACTGGTTCATTTTATTACGCGATTTTTGGTTACACGCGTGAAAGAAACTGCAGAAACTTTGTCCGGCTGACGTGACGCAGGCTGCGGTACTCCTCCGGGTCCGTGTCAAGAAGCTCCCGTCAAAACTCGTCTAGCACGCCACCATATTTTTTGCAAATCCGATCAGGCTTTCACCGAGCAAGACCTTTCTTGTGACTGTGGTAGCTTGAGTGTTGTGCACGAGCGCGGAGTGCGTAAAAGCATCTCCAAATGCCCCTCTGCGAGCCCAGAACTTTGTCCCTTCTCAAGCAGGACCATGCCTGTGCCCTGGGTTAGCAAAGCTAGTGGCACTTTGCGTGAAGCCTATCACGGTGTTTTGTCTTGATCTGCACCTAAAAGCGGCGGACGATTCCTTATTGCAGTAGAAAACGTCAATTTCTCTTGGTTAACGGTGCCATGGTACGATGCTAGAGTTTCGCGGCACAGTGGAGTGGCAAACAGGTTCGATCCGTCCTCGCTGGCGTCTGCTCGTTGTCTCCCTCGTGTGGATGTGCTAGGGAGACGGACAAACTGCAGACATGTCGTCACGTGATCAATCCGTCCACCGATTAGTCCCTCGAGTGAATCGGCCTTTAGAGGGACGCTGAACAGAAATTTGGAGCTTACAAAACAAGGCTGGAGCGATGGGTGGGACGCTGCAACGTCCAAAAACATCACTAGTGATGTCTTTGGGCGCAAACTCGGAATTTCTGATATCGCTGTACGAGCTCGTACAGCGATTACTGTAACGGAAGGCCGTATTCTTGGAAAAGAGGTGCCCAATTGAACACGGCCGACAAGAGATGTCACGTCACCGATTCTCATTCCCTCTCCTTTTTGCTTCGACCCGTCGAGCAGGTGAACTGAAGCTAGGAGAGAAGCGAGGCCGCTTCCCCTCATTCTGAACCGTTCCAGGAGAATCGCGACGTCATATTCCTCGCTTGAATTTCATTAAGGGGCTTTACACGAGACGCGACTGTTTAATGCTGACGTGCCGCGGCGTCCTAGCGTCCAATCATGCGCGATCCACGGGCGTAAACTAGCGTATCTCAGCATGCTTCGGCGTCTGCTCACACAGCGTCCGAGAGGATGCAAGGAGAGCACAACGGAAATGCGACCTAAAGATATCCGATTTTGCTTGCCACAGTCGCTGCTCAAAATTTGAGAGCTTCTGAAGAGAACAACGAAACAAAGTCGAAGCGTGCTCACGCTGACCCCGTCGGCTTCGTACTGGTCTTTGAGAAACTGGAACAGGGGCAGGGACTCCAAAGGGGCGCGCTCTCGGCCCCTGCACCAGCACGGAAGACGCCTGCCACCCGTGGCCACAGGAAGAGAATCTTCGGCCGTTTGGTGGTAAAAGTCTTCCAAGTCAGAGTTATTCATGCTCACACAAGTTCGGTTGACGAAACCACGAAACGAAGCTGACGCGAAGCCACACAGTGGATAAGCGCGGGCTACAGCCGACAAGGACAGCCGAACAGTAAGTTAGCCATCCAAGTAGCCAAAAAAACGTTCACAACTTGGTTTTGATAGTTCCGCGCATAAAGTTATTATAATTATAATAACTCTATGCTTCGGCGTAAATATGTAAATCAGCGGTGCAGTTCTAGTTCACATTAGTGCAGTCCCATGAGTGCTTTCGTGGTAGACAGTAGACATCAGTCAATAAATCAACGCACGTGACAAGCAGGCTAGGTGACGCAAGCTACCGCCCAATAAAATATGTACGACCAGTACTTTTTATCCATTCATTAACCTACCAATTTATTGTATTTGTTTTGTTGGAAAGCATTACGGGCATTACCGCATTGCATTACCACGAGAATGTGTCTTGAACTAAGTCGGTTCTCAAGTATTCCATCATAGCTTGTGCACGTTGCGCACTGACTCTTCCAGCTTCCTGCGCGCTCTCAATCTCTGTGGGCTCTCCTGTCGCTGTCAAGAGCCAGAGTTTTCGAAGGTATACGTGCTCCTTACGTGCAAAGCTGGTCGGTCGAGGTCGACTGTTCTTTACTGGCACTGAACAACGTTGCCGTCAATGAAAAACAGCGAAAGAAGCCGGTCATTTGCCTAGTCATGGTGCTTAGTTGCACTTGCACCTGCTCGGGACACGTTAGCGTTTCGGGACTAAGCTGGTCTGGCACCAAATGTCGGTGGACGCTCTTTCGAACATTTGCTTCGTTGGAATGCCGTAAATTCTATGTTCCCACCGTTCCTTGCAGTAGCATGTTATGTAGCGCTCTGTTTAGGTTCATCCAAACTTCGAACACAAAACGCTAAAGCTCTTTTGCGTTTTTTTTAAATTTTTTTTTAATTTTTTTTAAATTTTTTTACATATTTGTCTACGGTGGGGATGAGACCACAATTACGTGGCTAAAACGCTCATCCACTACAGGTAGTTTTACGTCGCGTGAAAAAGATAGTGAATGACACCTCACCAGCCCCTGATACATTTACCTTGACCATTTGACCTGGGAACCTTTTCTAAGTGCGGAACTTAAAGTACCAATTTCACTAGACATTAGTCGTACCAATTCGATTTAGGAAACGAAAGTCTCGCAATATGTTTGTTTTATTAGCAGACTCGATATACAGATCACAAATATAGGGTGTCTGAAGTCACCAAGCTCGATCTAAAATGGACCGTAAAAATCAATGCCTGTACGAAGCTATGGGGGGCATCTCGGGACATTACAGTACTGGTCTAGAAGATGCATTTCTACTCGCAGGAACTTGCACGCTTTCGTCACTCGACACCAGCGATGAAGCCACTGGAACCTCTGCAAGTGCCTGCCAAAGAGGTTGACATTGTGACAGGTACAGACAACAGTGTTACTTTTGATTCGACTGTTGGGTTCAGCTTGTTTGGCTAGGCCAGGGCGATGCAGTCTAACTTAACTGGGTGCGCCCCGCAAAACACTACAGGGCTCATGCTTTACAAGTAAACAAGATAGCAGTACCTTCTGAAGGTAATGCTCGCAGTCTTCTCGTCGCACTGTAATGGACAATTTTCAGAAATTGGCCAGTTCCGAAATCACTGGTTCCAATTCTTCGAGCAAAGAAGAAGCTATATCTCGTTGGCCCTATAAATCATTTTGGAAAATCCTGGGAGACATTGTGGCTATCCCAAATCGCAGACGCCTTTCCTAGAAGTCTTGAACAATTTCGCTCGACGTCTAGACGGCAATGTCTACGTCCATGATGCAAAGAAGCGCCATTGTAGATTTATTCCTGCTGTCCAGGTTCCTCCCGCATGTCTTGTTCAAAGTGTTTAAAATACCAAACGCGTAGCCCAAAGTGAAAATAGGCCCCCTATGTAAAACTGTCCCTTGTACACACACATTAGAGTACCTAGTTAGTTTAAGAGTTTTGTAAAGTGGTATTCCTCTCCTGCGCTTTAAGTCATGCTCCTCGGTAACTTCGTAAAGGATTAAAAACCGATTTTCCGCACATGTTCCACAAAGCTACTTTATTCCACAGAAAAAGCAAGTGACCCTCAGCACCCTAACAATGGACAGATCGGGGACTCTGACCACACCTTAAACAAAGAAACAGGTGAGGCACTTTGTGCATTCAGCACTGACTCACTCACTTAGGGCTCCTTCAGTAATGTTCCAGTTTCTCCAAATTTTCTGCTGGATCATGCGCAATATGGCAGGCACTGTGGGGCTTGGCAGCCATTCGTCAGGAAATTGTGCTCTCCCTTCTGCGATTGCTTGGAACAAGGGCTATGAAGCCGACGAAAGGGGACTAAATCTTTGGCGGCGCCGGGGTTCTAACTCGGGGTCTTTCAACTGCCGCCGCATGGAATGAAGTACGACTCTTGCTGGCACGTGCTTCGTGCCCGATCGTACCAACCGAATCGAATAACGGTTACACTGCATTGTTTCACCATGGGCTCAAAATAATTCCGACAGTGCTATAATCGGCCATTGCTCGTAGACGGCGCATGGATTCGATTTCCCGAATACGGCGAAGAGTGAAGCAGCCTTCAGCTGGGAAGGTGTATACCGTACCGGGACTGCAGGCATTTCGATAAATTCGGCCATGGCAGAACTTCTTTCAAATGGGGGAGGGGACAAACTCTTCTTTCAAAGGAAAAGGGGAACATGCATTTTTCTTTTTTTTAGATGGGAGCAATTACGATTTGTGAAACAAGTGCTACTAGAACATTTTAGTGGGGCCGGAGTTTCTCGGTCGTGTTGCTCTGCTTTCATCGGCACAAACGAGAGCAACGTCGAACTGTCGACCTTGACGGCATTGGTTTCACGAACGCGACGGCTTCGGGCTCCACCGTGCTTGTTGCACATACTTTCAAGCTTGCCGTTCGCATTCAGTCATCTTGGCCATGCCGTCGCGAGTGGGAACTGGAAAACCACCGGCACGCTGGTCATACGTCGTACAAAAGGCACGGTATTCGCTGTGGACTCGATGCAGAGGTACCTATGGACGCGTGTTGAGCATCTTTGAAGCATGTTTCTTCTACACACGCACGTTCGCTTTGCACATGCCTGCAGACAGTTTTCGTACGACCAATAGGACAGGACCGCCCTACGACGAAGGAACACGCTTCGGACAATGTCTGCAGGCGGTTTTTTGTACGACGTATCGGCAGCACGATTGTGCAGCCCAAGGTCGTCGCGCCACCGAGATGTTTCCTTGTCAAGGTCGCCAGCCTCTTCTGCAGGGGTTGTGGCGACGTCGGAACGCTGAGCTCCAATTGGCTCTGATTAGGGGGTGGAGGGTGAACCTCAAGGCAGCTTGCTTTGATTTGTGCAACCACTATCCTTCAATCGGAGTTCGGCGTTCCGACGTCACCGCGACCCCTGCATAAGAAGCAGGCGAAGTTGCACTCCGCGCACCTTTAGAATCGCAACCCTCCGGACGCCCGCGGACTTGACGACGACTCATTCTTGTCCTCGACACCAGATTCCGACGAAGAGGTGGAAGAGGCGTGGCAGGCGGCAGGGGTCGTGGAGGACACCAAGCCCGACGAGGGCCCCGCGGAGGACTGGGAGTCCGAGATCACAGAGCCACACTTCGTCGGTGAGCGATCCACAGTTGTGCCGACACTTCTTCTCCGCGAAACGCTCGCTCGTTCCCTTCGGGGTGCATCCAGGTCTTTCTAGGTCTGCCAAAGAGCCAGGAACTTGGCGACATGGCAGAGTCGTCTGTTCGATGCCTCATTGGTTTCGGCACATTTTTGCCTCAATAGACCTTTTGCCAAATTTCTCGAGCACCGTTGCACGAGCTCAGCGGGGACACCGAAAGCCCATAGCTCCTTGTAGCTTCTGCTATGCTGACTTAATGTGAAACGGAGTATTTGTTGCTACATTGTCTAGGCACTGCTTTCTTTTTCTCAGTTATTTGGACTTTAGGGGCTGCTTGCATAGAAATCTAGAAACCGGTGAACATCTCGTCGGTGTTCCTTTCGTGGGCGCGATTGACGAGACACCTTTCTTTCTGTCTTTGAGCAGTGAACAAGCGCGCCTACCTCTATGGCAAGGACGTGTTCGTTCCGTCGGACATCCATGCCGTGTCCTACCGGAGGCGGACGGCCTGGTACCAGCCGGTCGAGGGACAGTTTGACGACGCCGACTCTTAGGGGCCCCCTCTTCGGACACGGTTTCTTCGCCTCGTGAAACGAGGGAATTGCGGCGTATTTTTGTTTTCCCATTTCTTTGTCTGATGGGAGAGAATGCTTTTTCGGTTGTGTTGTGCACGAGCGAGCCAAAGGGACCGAGCCACACGCTTCTTTTGTAATAAAGAGATTTTTCACACGTGCATTCAATTGTGGCAAAAGTAACAGCGGGAGAGGTCACAGCAGAGTCACTGACGGATGAGAACAGGGACGTCCTCCAGTTTCGCCTCCAGTGCACAATGTAAAATATACGTGCGCAAGAAGCAGACAAGTCGTCTGCTTCTTGCGCAGGAGTTGTGGTGACGTCAGGACGACACTGAGCCCTGATTGAAAGGATAGTAGGTAGACCGCAATACTAGATGCCTTGAGGTCTGCCCACTATTTTTTTCAATCGGAATACGAACATCGTTGCAACCTGAGAGCAAGCTTGTTTCCAAGAAGGAAACAAGCTTGCTCTCCACTCAGACCCTTTTACTGGTTACAAACATGAACTGCTGCTTGCGTTCCGGTGGCTCCGAGGCAAAGCACTGGCCTACGGATCCCTAGGTGGCGAGTTCGAATCCCGGTCGAGGTGCCCGCAATCTGACAGACTGAGAAGGCACCATGTAACCGAGCTTTCGGTTGCTCGGTGAAAGATCCAGAGGTGGTCGAAATTAATCCCCAGTCCCCCGCTGGGGCATACCAGATGCCCGTCGTTGGCTTGGCACGTAAAACCCTGAAATTTGACTTTTGCTGCTTGCAATCCAAGCGACTTCCGGTCGCTCCGTCTTTGCAAGCCTGTCGAGTTTGCTTATGACCCCGGTGCTAGAAGTCTGAAGTGCTACACGGACAAAAAAGTGGGAGATTTAGTGATGGCCTTCGGCTGTACAATTTAACCCCTTCAGTGCCTTGGACGAGCTGAGCTCGTCGGCCACTTTCTGGCGAAAGATACTATGGACGAGCTCAGCACGTCCAGTGATTTTTTCGGTAGCCCTCAATTCCACGGACGAGCTAGGCTCGTCTGAGTAGTTTTGCGGTGCTGATCATAGATGGGGGCAGCACTCGTTTTAGTTGGCAAATATTTTTTCGCCTCTGCTGACTTTTGCGTAATAAACTTTTCAAATTTTATGTGTAATACGAGAGGAATAACTATCCAAAATAAAAAAAAAGATGGCACTTTTAGGTTACTTTTGGGAAAAAAGAATTTGGCACTTATGGGGTTAACGTCTTGGAGGAGACAAATTGGTTTATGAGAAAGTTGAACATTTTTAACAGATACGGCGCTTCTTGGTGCTTTAAGCGTTCGCCTGGAGAATCTGTGGTTAAATGTTTCATCGACGTTTCGAGCAGCGATGTTCAGGTGGGTTTTGTTCATTCTTTTTTATGAACTGGGAGTTTGCAGGGACATCAAAGACTGGAACACCGCCTGGAGGCGTTTGCAAAGAAAATACACTGAGTGTGAACAGCGCACGCGTTGCAGCTGCCAGATAAAGTCCTCTCCTTGCCTTGGTTGTAAGCCGTGACACGAGATAGCTCTTCGATCTGGGCTAATAGCAGCCTGTCGTGGGCCCGGTTTCGCCATGCCTCTCTATGGGAGACGTGCTCGTTTTTTTATGTTTTCCGAGTGCACTACACATAGAACTTAGCACCTGTGTTGCGTGCATTGTTTAAACCAGGGATCTCCAAATACGCAGCCCGCGGGCCGCATGCGGCTTACGTAGCGCTTGTCAGCGGCCGACTCCGCGAGTTCCAGTCTGTGCCCCCTCCCCCTTGCTCTTTCCTCTACTGAATCAACTTTGGAGAAAAAGATAAGCCACAGGGGTACAAAAGAAAAGTTTGGGGTTTTGTCTCCCTTTTCTGGTATGGAGGAAACTAAGTCCCAGTCACACAATGTGTCAACAGGACCTAGTTACGTCACTGCAACCAAAGGGTTATCATTCAAATACTTTGAAAACACAAATCCGGAGAAATTTCCGGGTTTAATTTGGTTCGCGCTTTGTTGCAACGTCCTTTCAGTGTTTGTATAGTTTTGCTACGGCAGCTCTGACGGAAACAATGAAGCTCTGTGGTGTATGTTGCAGTGTCGTTGGCAAAGCCATCTACGAAGCGCAGAATTGAAGACCAGAAGCAACTGTTTCAAGAGCAGTGGGAACTCGCTTACTACTTCACAAAATCGCAGGACAATGTTGTTTGATTGCCAGCAGGTCATTTCTGTGCCCAAGGAGTACAGTGTCCGACGACACTTCAAAGTCATGCCATGGCGAGAAGTATGACGCGCTCGCTAGAAACATCCGTGAGGACGCTGTTTTTCAACTGAAGACATCGCTGGGAGAGCAGCAAGACTTGTTCCAGAAAGCCGGCCAGACAGGAAAAAAAGAGTAAGAGCGAGCTTTATTGACTCTGAGCTTATTGCCAAATCCTCAAAACTGTTCAGCGATGGCTTGTTCATCAAAGTGTCTGCTAGAAGTCTCGGACACTGTATGTCCAATCATGAAGACCTTTGAGAACATTAGCCTTTTGCCAAACACTGTGGCTGAAAGGATTAACGAGATCAGCGACGACATGCCTTTGATGCATTTTCAATTGCTGTCGACGAGAGCACTGATGTCGCGGACAATGCTCGGCACGCCATTATCGTCGGGGGCATAGAAACAAATTTAAACGTTGCGGAAAAACTCTAGGATCTTGTGCCAATAAAGGGAACGACCACAAGAGCCGACACCATTTCCGTCGTCAAAAAAGCTGTTGAGTGCGCTGGATTGCCATGGGAGAAGCTGGCTCGTCTTGCAACCGACGGTGCACTATCAATGGTGGGGAGCAAGAGCGGGCTTGTTGGACGACTGAGGAAGAAACCCGTGGAACTTGGTATCGCTAAGCAGTTTGCAGCAATTCACTGTATTCTTAATCAAGAGGCACTATACAGCAAGTCGCTGCAAATGAAGAGCGTCATGGATAATGTATCTGGCGCAGTTAACTTTAATCAATTTAAGAGCACTAACCACCGCCAGCTAGTCTTTTTGGAAGCGGCTGGTAGCGCGCATGGCGAGCTTCTGTATCACACTGAGGTATGATGGTTGAGCTGCAGAAGGTCCTTAGGGGCACTGAAGTAGATTCTCAAATTGTCCTTTTGTGGTGACAACTCAATCTAGACCCTCCGAGCACCCCAACAAACCCAAAACCACAACTGCGCGTAGCTTATTCTCTCGTTAAAAGCGTGTTCAAAGATCGCGACACGCCCTTTTAGGGAAGAATTGGATGCAAACAAACCTGGGGGCTCTCAAGCAAAGAATAATTGGGTCTACTTATTTGGAACACATGGTTTGGTCCATTCAGCTTTGTGGGACTGACAGCACTAATGACAGAGCTTTATTGCTCGGCTTGACCGAGGATCAAGCTCCGAAAGAAGGCCTTTGGGTGCCCCCCACTTGAGAACCACTGCCTTAGGCTTTCACACGCATGCCACCACGAGTAAGTGCAAGCTTTGTCACGGGCATTAACTCGCATCATACCACATCAGCCAATGTTTGAAATAGCATTTTATTCCTCAAATCGGGGACAATTCGCTCTAAAAAAAAACATTCGAAACTCGCAAATCTGCGGAAGAGCAAAACACGGAGGGGTCAGACATGTGCCAGATGAGGAATGCGGATGAATCTTCGGCGTGCACGTCGTGACATGAAAAGGACAACGAAGAAACTGAGAACGATGAAAAAAACAAAACGTGATGCTGCAATGCTGACTTTTTGTTTCTCTCTTCCGCCGGAGGAAACGGACAACAAATCTTCGAAGTCATCCCCCGGACAAGCTAGGTCTTCCCCGCTTGGGAAGGTCAATGTGGCCCATGATGTGGCCATCACTCCATCTTGTTGACGTAGGCGTCCAATTCGGCATCGAGTTCTTCGGCGGTCGGGACCTTCCGAGGAGCCCCGCCGGCGCCGCCGCCACGAGCCCCACGACCTCTGCCGCGACCCCTGCAAATCACGTCGCCACCATTAAGAGACGCCGTCAACAATGTGCGATGGACAGATGGTCATATATACACTTAACAGTTTTCTGACACAATTTGAAAAAATTACAAAAATACTAAATAAATTTTGTGCAATAAAAATACATTATTTTGTAAAACTACTCACAGTGTCCGACTTGTTTGTTTACAACTTTCAAACGTGCATGCCAAAAAGTGGCACGTAACGTCACCACATGTACATGTCAGGGGCAGCCTACTCTCTCCTACCTTCAGCTTGCCTCAGCGCTCCTCCTTTCCGCTTTTCTCTCGTGCGTGATTTTGCAACGTGGAAGAGAGGATGAGAAGGCTGGCCTTGGGGTGTACATGCGGTGACGTTATGTACCAATTTTCAGCACATGCGTTGGGAAGCTGTGGACTAAGACAAGTCTATAGCCGTTGCAACTCAAGGCCACGAAGGATGAAGCAGGTGGAAAGCTGATGAGAGGAGGAGGCTTTCCCCACTCCTCGCCAGCCTTCCGCTACCTTTTTGTGCTGCAGCAGACTACATTACTGTCAATAATTTTACAAAAAAAAATATATATATATTGCAGGAAATTTATGTTAAATTTGTCATTTTTCTGGGCTGTCTAGCTGGGCGGTCGCAGTACCGCCCAGGGATGATACAGTATAGACCACTTGCAACGTAACCGCTTATAGTGCAGGACCGGGTATAACGCTGCTTTTTTAAACCACAGGTTCGCCTCCCATAGAACTCCATGTAATTACATACCGCTTAAAATGCAGGCGCGCAAAGGGAAATACCGGTTATAGTGCGGTTTCTGGAACAGCCCGCTGACCGACCGGTGCAGTGAGCACGCTTCCCTGCGCGACACAAGATAACGGCGCTAGCCGCAAGTGGCACCCGCGGGGCAAAGAGGTTGCTCGAAGAAGCGAAGAGAGAGGCTTCAGTTGCCATAGCGACGGAGGGACGCATGTATGTGTCGTCCACGTGCGTGCGTCCCTCCGCTGCATTGGAAACAACTGGAACGACAGACCAATTGCAGGTCGAGGAGACGTGTTCGCGCACGTTGCATGCCGGTCGCGTGCCGGCTTCTCCTATCCGCAAACATGGCGTCGGTTGCGATCGTTCCGCGTAAAAGCGCCATCCTTGACTATGAATTTTCGTTGTGTGTTGCTATGATAACCCAGCACGTACTAGAAGGGAAGATCCACCCACTCGTGCGGCGATGTCGTGGCGGCACTCTCAAGACGGCAGAAACGCCCGTGTCGTCGTGTTTGTTTACTTCGACTACAGTGGTGCTTTCTAAGCATTTGTGTTTTCAAACATCGCCCGGATTTCTTATGTGGAGCATTTCATGCCTGCGCTCAAGTTGAAGGTACTACTGGTGCATACCGTATAAAGGATGCGAATTTTCAAGAGTTTTCATCACCGGAGAAAAGGAATTAAAGTTAGCAATCCTGAACACTTGCAACGTCCGTCCGCAACCTGCGACGCCGTTAAAAGGCTGCGCCAGGCAAAAGTCGCTCATTTCTTTCAAAATGTGTAATACACTTGAGAGAGAAGTGTACTAGTCTGGTGAAATAAAGACTTTCCTCAAACTAAGCTTTATTTTTCATCTAACATAAAATAAATTGTTTTACAAAGGTAAGTTGTCTCATGGCGTGTATTTTGGCCTGAAAAATTGATGTCTTCGTTATAGCGCGGTACCGCTTATAGTTCGTAGTTTCGCGACTCCCGCGACATATGTTATATGCGGTCTACACTGTATTTGGATGCGGCTCATAGATTGGACCTGAGCATTGTGTGGGTAGGCTGTGGACGCCGCAGTGGACGTTCCACCGCTGGCGTCCTTCGCTCTGTTTTGCACTGCCTTTCTTAAAACTCGACCTCACTTCGGTAGTTCCAAACGCAAGAAATTGCACTCTCCAGTGTCGTCTATCGCAAATCGGAATCCGAGAAACACAGAAAGCGGCGTCACCGAGAGCGATAGTCTCTCGAAGGTGGTCGATATTCACGTAAACCTGCAACATTTTGAGCCACTGCGAGTCCAAATTCTTAGATTTTTTTTTTATTTTACTCACGAAAGTAGGATGTCCGGGGATAGCAGAGGAAGCAAAATAAAAGACACAAAAATTTAAGAAAATAAACTTGATTTTTTGTCCCGCATCTTTACACAAACACAATTGAAATCAGTGCAAACAAGACTCGTGAGAGCCTAGGCGCCCATGAACCACTGTCACGCGATGCGAAGAGACAAATGACCGTCGTGGTGGCGTCAAACATTGAGGAAGAAAGACTGGCAATATTCGGAGTGTAGCTTTCTAACGACTACAGACCTTCCAGTTGTTACCACTCTTTCATATGAGGAGGCACACAATGGGGGAAGGTTGCTCTCAGCAACAGCAACATACCGGAAAGTGCCCCTGGTCCTCTGTTGCTGGACTCCACCGCCAAGGTTGCCCACGTTGGCTGCGTATCCCAACCGCGACGCCGGAGAGAGGGTGGCAGCTCCCACAGAAGACGTCACCAGTTGGATGTTCATCGGCCGACCTGAAACCAGGGGTGGAACTCATGAAATGTGCTTGGGAGCAGCCACGGGAGCAGCTAAAACAGCTGTTTTGGAGCAGGTTGGGAGCAGCTAAAACTACACTCTGGAGCAGGCTAGGAGCAGCTCAGATCAGTTTTCATTGCACTCCAGCTTGTGTCTTAGACAAGCACGGGAGCAATTTCAGTTGTGCTTAGCAGCCCAGATAAACATGAGTGGTTAGGGACCTAGGCAGATGGGATAACAGTGTAACAGATGCGAAAACTTGGAACTTTGTGAGCCTTGATATTTTCTGAGTGGCTTTCAGCTGCTCAAAATGCAAACCAGCACCACTTATCGCACAGTCCACACGTCCTCGACAGAGTGATTTTATGTGCGAACCACGTGACGTGCGTAAGCAACGAACGTGCAGTTGCGCGGAAGAACAGGGAAACAAATTTCGAGTTTCTCATATTGCGCAACTCAATATCGCAACAAAATTCGAGTTTATCCTATTGTGCAACTCAATATCGAAGCAGCAGACTACGATTAACGGAGTTATCGTATTCGAAGCGATAGGCAGGAGCAAGGTTAACGTATGCCGAGCAGATCTACCGCTCGCGTGAGAGCTGCTGGCCGGCAAGGTTTCGGATCGGACTGCGTTTCAGATCTATCAAATCACGATTTATCTTGCAGGAATGCGGTTCCAACTTCTAACGATGAAGTGCTCAAAGGAATCTTTTGCTCATTTGTTTTCAACTGACTGACGTCCGGATCCCGGGCTTCGGAGCCTCAGGCAATCTGACGCTTAACGACTCGACCTTACCTCGACCGACTTGTTTAACCGCTTATGGTTGAAGAATAACAATCCAGAGGCAGATGGTGTAGCGCTTGGAATCCGAACCCCGAGTTTTTTTCGCACACTTCCTACTCGGGATACACAGGGAGAATAAAGAGAAAAAAAGGATTGCAAGGCCGACCAAGCTAAACGCGATCATTGTTGCCAATCGAGTCGATAGAAACCGAAACCAAGACAAAATACAATTTTTTTGGCGCACGTTTTCCAATTTGGTGCATAATGGCGCGAGGTATTGACTGTGGCGCAGTTTCCGAAACATGGCGCAGGATGGCGCAGACAAATGCGTCTGGCGCAAAATGGCGCAGCCGTTCCACCCCTGTGAAACAGTGCAGGGGGGGAGGGCGGTTTACAATCTTGGCCAACACTGCACACAATTCAATACAAAGGCAATGCACAGCGTGAATCCTTAGACTCTTCTAACTTCCGGTGCTTTCAGTTGTGATCCGACATTAATAATGACTTTAGACCTCTTTAGTGTGCCGTCACAGTGCATTTCGCATCTCTTAACTATAGGCAAAAGAAATTAAGGGAAGCGTGCGACAGTAACACTCGCAAACTTATACGACAGCCGTGGACCCTTTCCGTTTACCCTTTTTGCCACTATCGATCAGGTATCCATGGGACACTTCCAGTCTGCTTACCACTGGACTGAACGATTTTCAGCATTGGTAGGGCGAAACTTATGTGCTATGTACGAGAAATGGCCACGTACAACGCTGTTTTGCTTATTTCATGCCCATGGTAACCGACAGGCGGTGCCACATGCGGCTGCAACGTAGAGTAACTGTAGAAGCTCCACTCGCGGAGCAGAGTACTGCAACTGTGTCTACGGGTCTCCCTTAGAAGTGATGGTCGCTTCTGCAGGAGACCCGGAGGCGAGGATGGCGTGGCTGTGAAGCGGCATGCGGAGCATTAAAGGCATAGTGCGGTGACGAGCCGCACGTGCACCGCCCTTTGTTTCCCGTTTCTCTTTATGCCCCCGCTCAAACATAGCACGATGAAAACGTCGTCCCCCTCTGCAAGCCGTAGCTGCGCATTGTTGTTTGGTTCAAGCTGCTCGAACGTGCCGGTCGCTTATCACTCCGCGCATGCTGCAGACGCAAACGTCCTCCCTATCGTCTGCTTCCCAGAATTTGGGAACACGTTTTAGAACGTAGCTCACATTATAAAACAACACGGCTATACTGCATCCGGTGGCCACATGTAATATTCAATGGGAACCTTCCTTCCATTTTAGTGAAGGATGTATATTTCGCAGACGGAAAGCGAGAAACGCGCTCCGCCCGAAACTCTGTGCCTGCAAGGTCACTTTTGCACACAACAGCTGGATCCAGCTTGGCGCACGCGACCGCTTTTCCGCCAATAAGGAGTTTGTGGTGAAATGAAGAGGAACGCAATACCTTGGCTCTGCAAGCAGAGACGGTACAGTTACTCTATTGTAGTGGTCTCAAGCTCCTTTGAAAGTGGGGGCCAGATATCTCACACCAGAAAGGTTGAGGGCCAATGTAAGACTGGGGCGTAGAAGGAAGAGACTGCGTGCTTTATGCTTTTTGTGAACTCTCAGTATTGCCAGTGATATCTTTAAATTTGATTTGTTTATAAGACTACTTTGGACCCTGACATGATGTGATAAGAATTAAAATGACACCGCTCCACCAACATGCTGGCATTTTTAATAGAAGTAAAACATTTTTAAAAGAACAAGTACACAGTCGATCCCGTTGCTCAATTCACGCAGGAATTAACCACGCTCAACATGTCTCTAAAAAAGCAAAGCAATATGGTAATATGATACTTGTCGCTCCCCTGATGACTCACTACTACACAACAACAAAAAAATACTCGTCTTTTAATGGTGGTATCTTTTTGAAGGCAAAAATCCCGAACTCGTAGTTTTATCTTTGGCAGTCGTTCCTGCTGATTGAGTTTGCGCAGCCGAGATGCATCCTTCAACGAATAGCTCGCGCTTGCAGCCTAGTAGCGGAATTATTGCACATTACAAAAAGCCGGGAAGCGAAATATAAATCAAAACAAGAAGAGCAAATGAATGCAGATAAGTATAAACTATGTGAATACGGTAAAAGAGCAGAGCAACTTTTTGAGCGAAAAGTAATCGACGAGATGAGAACAGTATGGCACATGCCACTGAGTATGAGACATGGGAACCGGAACTCGTAGCCGCCTGCCTGCGGGTTGCGTGCCAGCAAGTTGCGGGCTGCATGCCGTCCGCATGTTTGAGACCCCTGCTCTTTAGTGACACACTCGGTCACAGGCAAATGCAAGTGCATAAACCATCCCGCATTCACACACACTTTTGTGCAAAGGAAACATCCAACCACCCAACCGTGTGCTTGCACCAATAGGTTTGAGTGCATTAGACAATGGCAAGAACTATGCTACCCTCTACAACAACGCAGAAAAGAAGTCCAACAAGTATCTAAAATCTTTCCAAATACCCTGTTCGAGTCTTTCTGCAGTACTAGGCTGCGTGGTCGAGGCACGGGGGAGCACCAACACTTCATCCACCGACGATACTAGATCCCGTTAGCTTCGTTCACCGGGATCCAGCCCTCGTTTTAAAGCGATGGGTTTACGTGCGACACTTTGCAGCGATTTCGACTTCACGGGCTGTTGTCGCCACATACTAAGGAAAAAAAAAACAAAAAAGACTGTCTCCTCTTTGCGCGAGGAGAGGGAAGTCGGGACTTTCCATCGGCCGTGCCGCGCGAAAAGGGCGGCCTTGGCACCCCGCCGCCGAGGATGGCACGACGAAGGGAGATCCTTCGTGTCATCTGCTTCAAACAATTGTTTCCACACTCTCCTCGGATTGTGGAAACTCCCACTTTGGCAGTATCTAGTTGCTAAGCATAACGTTAACTGGTTCCAGAAGCTTCCACTGCATTTAACCACTTGCTTCGCGGATCACTGGGGGCGGTTGTCGGCGGCACCCACGACGGCTACGAGAACTCGCCACGTCGCACCACCGTCCTCGGGCGCGTGATGGCACCATTCCATTTGCATTGCACAAACGGTCTACGGCTATCGCTTCCATTTCTTTGTGCATTGTGGGAGAAAAATGCAGCTTTTCGTTCCGATTGTAGCTTGCCTCTAGCCCTCAGGTAAGTGCAAAGAAGCTCCTCTGCCCTACGTGCCGGCACCCTTTCTTTCCCAGTGTTTTTTTTTCCCTGGGAGTTCCCAAACCAAGTCTCTGATAGGGGGCGCCAGACCTTCGGGAGGATTTGACTCACCGTCGAGGGGTACCCCGTTGTACTGCTTCATGGCACGCACGGAGTCTGTGCGCCGCTCAAACACGACGTCTGCCGTACCGAGAGATCGGCCCGACCTGTCATAGTGCACCGCCGCCTTGCGCAGGGGGCCAAACTCTGCAAACAGCTCCTGGGCAACGGCAAAAGACGATTTGGGTTAAATTACGACGCAACCACTTCTGATAAAACAAACGGGAAACCGTGCCCGGATGGGATACATACGTCACAGAATTAATCTGTCCCGAAAAAGACTATATTTTGAGCGCAATATTTACGTCGACCCTGCGAATGATTCCAAAGCATGCTTCCATTTCAGGATGGCGATCCTGCAATGTCAATGAAAACTGGATTTGGCAGAGGTTTCTTCACTCCCAGTTTACCATCAAACTATTTTTTTTTTGTCTGCATTGACAGGCTAACGTTCCTCGGAAACTTGTTGGGATTAACAAGGACATTCGTATGATATTCACTTCCAACTTTATTTTCAACCCAGAGTTGGAGAAGGGGGCGGACAACTGCAGAAAGCTTGAGAGCATCTGGGGTCCATCAACATCATGTTAAAAATCTGCAATGTGCTGCAGACTCAAAGCTATTCGTGTTCTAAAAAAGAGGCAATGAAATGCCAGGTCAGAAAGCCATATCAGAGCGCTGCGAGGATCGGTGCAGGTCACCTCACGGCCAGAAAAAATTGGCGACATCGATATCACAGATACACAGGTCGTTCAATGTTTAATGTGTGAGTTGGTACAAGTTAAACATGTACCCACTAGCCCACCTGTTCATTTTACTGTGTTCAATGTTCCCAGGGACTTCTGTCCATAAAAAATTGCTGAACAAGTGTCGCATACAATGGAAGTTGCACGCACAGCAGCTTCAGCTGCAATAGTGGCAATCAGTGTGTCTGTAGCCATGGGGCAACGGGACATTGTTAACTTTCTGAAGAAGGAAGTTAAACCAGTAGAAAAATTGAGAGCATTGTAAGCGCAGTATGGGGAAGAATGAATGTCACGGAGAATAGTGTGCGAATGGCAACAACAGTTTGGCAAAGCAAGGCAGTCGGCGACAAACAAACCGCAAGGAACACTTTCACCTGACTGCAGCCACGCATCACAGTTCTTTCTATGCCAAGGGGAATCTGTGTCACACATTTCACGGCGGTTTTTCAAGGTGGCCCGTTACATTCACTTTGGGTATCTGTCCCTGAGGGCTGACCCATAGGATCATTTCCTGTCAATCGAAACATTGTGTATGTTTTCCTTTCTCCCATTCACACTCACACTTTACTTGCCTCCTCTCCCCACAGGAGCTGGTGTCTGAGCTACTCCCCACAGAAAGGAAGCTCTCGCTCTTCACAAACGGAAAGGAGGCATTGAGGGAGTTTCCTCCCTTTCAGTGGCTCGTCGGCCTTTAAGCACATCACACACTAAAAGGCCTGCACACTCTGAGAAGGAATGAATAGCTGCACACATGGCACAGTCAAAGAGTGGCTGTACGCTGTTCTGCCCCCTCTCTGAGGGTAAGCAGTGGCCCCAGTGCCCACCTTGATGTCTGCGTCGGACACGCCATAGTCCAAGTTGGAGACTAGCAGCTTGGACGGTCCAGCCGTGGTGCCTCCCAGGGCCCCCAGGGTGCGCCGGGTACCCACGCCCTCAAACATGTCATGCTGCCACCGGTCTGGAAGCTCCTTGGGCTGTCAAAAGATGGGACACATCATTATGTCGTCCACATCGAGACCAACACACAAGTAAACAGAGGCGTGGGTTGATCACTTTTCTCTATCCATCCCTAAGCAGATAGTACCGTCGATAGTGGGGACAACAATGTGACGGTTTATTTGTTTGAGTTTTGACGCAGCGCTCGGCCGATGTAGCCAAACGCTGTGTCAGCACTTGGCTGGGGCGTGCAATCTGCACCCTGTGCTCCATCGAGGAAGACATAAAAAGTCAGTTCATGGATTTTTGTGTGGCGACAAGGCACTCCCAATAATGTTTTTACCCCTAAGCAGACGGTGTGGCGGAAGCTATATGCTCGTTGAACCAATCGTATGTTTATTTACCACCACGTGATGTGATTGCACTACCGCTTATACCCACACACAGAGAGTGGAGTCAAGCGAATAAATGGAGGTAGTTGAAATGCCGGGCGACCGTGTAGTTCCCACCGTCAGGTTAGCGGTGAATTGTAGATGCAGGTCGAATTGAATCTCCGAGTGTCCCACCTTAAATATCGGGAAATACAAGAATGTGCTACACATATATGTCAACGGCCATGCAAGGCAACACGAGCAAATACTGTTCAATGCAGTGTGATAGCTAGGCCCTTGATGTCGGTGAGAAGCAAATGTTTTGCACACCTGGGCACTGTATTCTCCACCATGCTTTGAGCTGCAACCAGTAAGCCTTTGTGAAATGCTTCATTCAGACGATGGCTTAGACAATACACTCCACAACACACAAGCTGGTTCGAAATGTTTTTGTGAAGTGCTCAGAGTAAAGGTACGAGAAGTGTGATCTTGGGGATGTGTGTTATCCACTAAGAATCTTCCAGCGGAGTGTACAGAGCACATGGTAAGTACACCCCATGCCGTGACAGGCACTATCCTTGTTTTTAGGGGCTTCCTTTTGTTGTCTTAGCTACATCTCACTGCATGTCGACACTGGCCATCTGATAAAAAATAGGTCTCGATCGGCCTTTACCAGTCCAAGAAAAGCGGTTAGCCTGCGTAAGCATCGTAATATGACCAGCAAACTGACGATCGCATGTTCCCGCTAACCGCGTAGCGCCCCGTGCGCCCACTGGCCTCATTTCTCGACACGTCAACCAGTCTTTCATCGAACGTGTAACGAAACCGCAGAGAAATGCCACCGTGAGAAAGTACCCTTCCCGTCTGCAATGGACAACAACGCACGCGCAAATCGAAATCCTTCGTGACGGCTTCAAAACATTTCTAAATTCACGTCTCGACCAGGAACGACAAAACAATTACATCATCGGGCACGTCGCCGACGTCGCTACCTGCCCGCTTAGTTTGTCAAGGTCACGTGACTACTGCCTACGTTACCGGATTAGCGCGCTCGCTCAGACCGCCAAACACAAAAACAATAAAAAATAAAATATTTTACCGCCGTTTACAACGCTGCGTGAAATTCACCATTATCGCTCTTAACTGTGGTCTGTAATTTTAACCGATTCGCGAAGTTGACCATTAAAGCAAGCGAGGTGGGATCAGAGGCCCCAACCCCAAAATGGATTCCAATCGAATCACAATGTGCGACGCGTCAGGCGTCTTCCAAAGGCCTATATGCAAGCCGCGGAACTTGCGTGTTGCGGTCGCGACCACTCGTGCCGGCCCCAAAAGCAAGCTGGCGACTTACCCTGGCGTATGGCTGTTGGCGTACTCGTCCCCGGAGGGTTCCCCGTCGAACTGCGCCGCCGGCACCGGCGCCAAATCCACGTGCGGCGCCGCGGCCCGCGAAGGTGCCGCGACCGCGTCCGGCTCCTCTGCCTCGACCCCTTGTCGTCCGGTACTGTCCTCGGTTCAGCTTGATGATGTCGTCCAAGGACATGTCTATCTTGTCTGTCATCTTGTTACCTTTGTGTGGGTCGCCGCGCGACGTTTCTCGGTCCGGAGGATGACTTTTTTTAAGAATAAAAAGGGTAGCGTTAGCACTCGTTTGCAAATGAGACGACAAGAAAAGACCGGCCACAAAAAATGTCCAGATATGGCGGAAAACAAAACCGGCGACCGTGGCATGCCGGGAATGAAAAATGGAGAGCAGATGTGGTGGCCTCTGGCGTCGGAAAAGAACAAAACTAAAATTTCGGTTTCGTTTTCCATTTTTGTTTGGTGTTCAATATTTTGTTTTTTGTTTTGTATTTTAAATATAACACACAGTGTAACGCATCAAATTTAAAAAAAATATATATACTATATTAAATTACGACATTATTTTACAGCCGCTATCGCTTTAGATTACAAGTAATATTGCTTTTTTTGCTATAGATCGGGGAAACTTAACTTCAATTACTTAAAAAGAATAAATGATTAGCCTTATAACGCTTATAACCGTAACTACTCTGCATATACATTCGTGTGAATATTTTGGCACATTGTTTTCTTTCATTTAGTGTAAGTAATTGAAATCGCTAAACATAGTTGGCGGACATAAAAACAAGTTTCCAGTCTGGACACCCTGTTAAACAAACCGAAAAAAAAAAAAAAATCTAGGGAATAAGCGCACAAAATGTAACCGTCTGCTCGCGATTGCAAGCTGTGTCCCAGTTATGCGATTTGTTTTTCTTTTAAATGATGCCAAAAAGCCTTCGGTACCAGGATGCCAATTAGTTCTGTTGATCGCTCAGGATTCTCCGAATCATGCGTGTTGTGGCAAGTTCTAGGACGGCCTCAGTTCTATTAGCTCAATCAAATCATCGCGACAAGCCAGCGCCTGGATCCAACGGCTGATCGACTTTCCCCGGTCAGTGGTTGTTCGGAACCATGAAGTCCGACGGTGACTCCCCGGAACAGACCTCCAAGTCGAGGATTTCAAGCACGAGCAGCTTCAGCGATGGACTTCAAGAGTGCTACGAGACCGGTGAGTTCGGACGGAAGACCTCTTTTCTCCTGTGCCTCGCTAGCGTTTCATCGGGGATTTCCGATAAGCCTAACTCCCCTGGGCACGATCACTTGGGCATTCCGTGTACCTACGGGCGCTGATGACATTGACACGGTTGGGCGGGCGGTTCATAATTATGCATCTTTCCTGGTTTCGCCACCCCGAGGCAGCCTGTTTCGGGTGCCAACGTTGATAGCGAGCGAAACGCCAAAACAAGCCAGATTGTTTTGCTTTTTTTTGTTTTCTTGTTCATAGTATTGTCAAAAAAAAAAAAAATAATAATGCGGAGGTGACACTGTCGCTACAATAAATAGTACGGCAAAGTAGTACTACTAATAAATAGTACGGCAAAGTAGTACAACAAATAGTACGGCATTACAGTGCGAAATGTTAAAATTTGAACGTAATAAAAGCAGGCGCCAAACATTTAATCCAAAAGTACTGCTCTGTTTGCGTTATCTCACGCAGGGATGGGCAAAATACATGCAAATATGTATCGAAATACAAATACAAAATACTCCGGAAAAAATGTATTTAATTACAAATCTAATTATAATTCCGAAAAAGCATTTAAGTACAAGATACAAATACAACCAAATGTATTTGGTCTCCTCCCAAATACTTTCCCAAATACATTCCTCAAAATTTGCGTCAGCGACTTCAGGGCACCTGCAATGGGTTTCTGGGTATCTCATCTTAATTTAGCATCCCACCCTCGGGAGTTAGTGTGCGAGGCTCTAGTAACGTAGTAGAAATATAATCACAAAAAAAAAAAAAAATGTAATCAGCTTGGACGTAATAGGTGAAAAATAGAGAATTTTTTATTGTTGCAACTCGCACCAGTTACAAAAATCTGGACGACCCGCGCATTTAGAATGTTCCAGGCAAAAATATGGATGGAAATCAGGCTGGACAGCATCACAAGTTGTCACAGGCACTTATTTAGCCAGTCTGCCTGTGAACGTCGATTTCGTCACTATTCTTTGCCTGGACTAGCACCGTAATCACAAAGTCACTAAACGCTTGTGCTTGATTGAGAGACACTGCATTCGGTGCAGAACGTAGTTTTCTTCCTGCTCTGGACAGTGCCTTTAAAATAAAGCCGGAGGAGAAAAAAAAAAAAAAAAAAAAAGCCCCATGGCCGAATAAAGGATGGAGACTATATCTTACAACCACATGCATAAAAACAAGAATTGTCGTGACAATAAATTTGAGGGATGTATTTTCGCCCACAAAATTGTATTTAATTACAATTGTATTTGAAATACCCACGTTTTAGTATTTAAATACACACGTCAAGTACATTACCCAATTTGTGATTGACTACAAATGCAAAATATACAAAGTATTTGAAATACTGCCCATCCCTGATCTCACGTAATGCACAAGTCACGGATGATATTTATTTATATTTTTCATTTTTTCACTGTAGCTTCAGGACCATCCCTTTAGAGAGGGCAAAAAGAGAATAAGTGCAGGATACAAACAAGGCTAATCTAAATATTTACGAAACCAAGAGCAGTGAAGTTTTACATATTAACAATAAAGAAGATAGTTTGTTTTCACAATTTTAAGCGAATCGACTGGTGGCATTGACACTAAATGGTGAGAGAAGGTGGTTCCGTTTGGGTATAAAATTTAAATCAATACAAATTTAAAAAAAAATTCTCGCCAGTTTATTTAAAATTTAATGGAACCACATCGCATCGTTGACGACGCAGGACAAACATTCAAACGGCTAAACTTAGCGCAACTTGTCGAGTCTGCCCGCCTCAGTAACAGTAGATGAATTATTCATACGACATCACCCTGTTGACGCGAATTTTCCCACAAAGTAGCCGCCGTTCTTTTTTTTTTTTTTATGGTTTAGACGTAAAACCTGATGGGTATGCGGCGAAAGTCAACGCTCGCGATTTACGTAGCTTTCCCCCTTTCGTCGGCTTCAAGGCTTCAGCTGGGTGGTTAATCCCCAGCGCCGACCAATCAGGAGGAAGCCCTTTTCGTGACGTCACTCTCATATGGGCGTTCTCACTTTATGTTTTGCTTGGGACTTTTCCGAAGGCTTTTGATACTTCTACTTTTCCGAAGGCAGCGACTCGATTGTCTGAGCTGCACCTTCATGCGCTTTGCAACAGCCATATAAAACAAAGTTAAAAAAAAAAAAAAAAAAAGTATTTTTCATTCTGTATTTTGGTGCGGGTTTCGGATAGAAAGGTCGTCAATAACACACAAAACGCAAAAAAGAAAAGAAAAGAAAAGCTCTGCAAAAATTGGGAGTTGTTTAGTCTCTTCACCACATGCGTTTAGAAGGTTGCAGACATTTAATTTTTTTAGCCACAGCACGTGTTTGGATTGTGTTGTGACAACGTGATGCTTGTTTGTAAGGTGACTGTTCTCAAAGTTCCTATGTATATTTCGAAAACTGATTGTTTTGTCAATGCGTTACTTTTTAACTTTTTTTTTCTTTTTACTTTGGATAGTTTATTAATTTTGTTCGTACTTTCCGCAATGCCTCGACTTCCCTAATAATCTGTCTCTCAATTTGGTACAACAGCCTGTCATAAGCTTTCACCGACGTCATTGGTCAGACATAAGGGGGGGGGGGGGGGGGGGGAGGGAGGGAGGGAGGGGGGAGGGCGCTCGAGAGCGTAAAAACCCGTTCACACACTTGCGACCTCTTAGAACGACGAGAGGACACATTGGCGCCATCTATTGGGTAGCAATGTAAACTTGGCGGTCCGGTACATTTTCTATTTCTCTCGCGAATTATTCTTTCTTTCTTGGCTCGAAAAACGTTTGTCAACGTTATAAACGAGCCTTTCTTATAGGTATTAGGCACGTTTGACCTCTGAAATCCCGCAAAACCTTCGCTCTTGTGAAATGCTGTTCCAGGGTCACCGCATAGATGGCGCCAGCGTGCCAGTGCGTTCTCTCGTCCTAAGAAATTTGAAGAGGTTTCAACAGGTCTCGTCTCTCTCGGTCGTACTCGGTTGCAAGTGTGTGTACGGGCCTTAATGCTGGCTAATGTTTTTATTTGTGAATGACATATGAGAGCCCAACTACACAAAACGCAATTTGCGGCTCGAAATTCGTTTTCTTCTCGCCCGAAAACCACCTATCGCGAACTGGCCGGTTTGAGTCACGCTCACTCTCTTCTCCGTGGTCACATGCCGTTTTCTGTGGTTTAGACACAACCACCAAAGATAATCGAAGTCGTCGGTCATTGAAGGCACATACTCGATATTAAAATTATTAAAAATAAATATGATATCTATTTTTTTCGTCTTTCTAAATAACTGCAATTCCGTTCATTGAAAAAAAAAAAAAGTTGCACAGCCACGTGACCTTCGGTAACTCCGTTCCCTCCCAGTATAGTTTTGGTGTCGAGCAGTTGCGTTTTTTTTTTTACTTTATTAAAAATATACGTAACGCTCGCAAAATATTGATTGTGTATATCTTGTGGCACCATAATAAATCGCCTGGCAAAATAGTACTACTACAAAATAGTAGTAACAAAAAGTAGGACCAAAAAAACCCCGATTACTTTTTTTTTTGCAGTGAGTCATACGTGCATTAGCTATTTTAATACGTTGTACAACTCGGCTATCAAGCCGCTCGTGAAAGTTGGCACCGTCGGCTCAACGTCAGTGCACTGTGCATCGAACTGAAGTTTTGGGGTGTATTATATGGGACAAAAAGTGTAAGAATACACTTTTTTTTTTTTTTTTTTTAGAGTGTATAACAACGCCTCCTAGATCAGAAAGCCTAAGTGCTGAATTTTCCCGCGCCACTAAAAAAGGTCTCCGTAGCCACCGATTGGACCGTAGCTCAGCAGAGCTACAGCGCTTGCTCACAAGGCCTTCCACAGCCCGTCAGACGAAGATGGTAGCGCGCAGAAGCCAATTCCTGGAAGCAGACAACCAAGCCGCCGTCGTCTGGCAACGAGACACGCATCGTTATCCTGTACCAAGCATGCAAGAGAACAAACCTCGCAACAAAGGGGAGGGAGTCTATAGAGAGATATGAAGTTACAGACGGATGCGATGTCACAGGTGAAGCATTGCCGATATCTATTTCGTTGACCTAATAATTGCTATTTCACACACACAAAAGAAGTGAACATTTCTTCCTAAAAAGGTATGGTGTATGTGGTTTTTCTCCATAAAAAAAAAAAAAAAATTGCGCTTGGGAGGCTTAGTAAGAGCCATAAAGTTATTATAATGTACGCTTGAGGTTCAACTGGCGCTACAATGTCTATGCGACTTTCGGGAGGCAAATTGAAGCAGACAGCAACCAGTCCACTTTTGCGGTGCTCCTGTGCATTCGTTTGGGAAAGAGCGTGTGCATTCTGCCTCTCCGCCGGAAAACAACATGGAACACTTTGGTTATTTGGGTCTTACCGACTAGTATACTATGTATCTTTATTAACATTGCGAAAGCGTAATTGCTTTAGTTCTTCATCGGTGAACGATGTTTCTTGATCGGTTTAATTTCGCTATATTTCGGGCCCAAACCTCTGTTCCCCAGCAAGTGTGTAAGAACGAGTGACGATGCTAAGCAGAATAACAATAGAAAGGAATATAGAGTGTGTTCAAGGCTCGTGCAGCCTTCCGGTGACGCTTAAAAATGGCTAATATGTCAGTCCTGTCACTATATGAAAATGAACCCGTCTTGCATCGTTACGAGCGTTTATACACATTCAAAACGCAAATATTATATGCCGGCCAGCTTTTATGAGGCACTTGTTCTCTAAGATTTCGAGCGTGCCGGTGACGCTTTGAACGTAACAAGCAGCTTCGAAGAGCCGAACGAATAAAGCAGTGCTTATTGAAAATCGGGCTGTACTTCGTGGCATTCAATTATTTTTGATCGTACATGCACAGGGAGTTACTGATCCAGTGTTACTGCGTAGTTCCTGCCTCTCTTTTGGTTTTTCAGGTGTCCTTCGTTTGTTCGGCACCGCGACTCCAGCAAAAAGG